ACGGCCGAAAACACCATATGTATGTTTTTTAAAAAAAAGCGCGATGACCGAAAAAAGGATAGAACGCGCTGTTTTCTCTCTCATTATTTTATTTATCGGAAACCACTATTCGAACGTGAGCGAATTGTCTAATCAGTTTCTTTGAGAAACAGTTTTTAGCTGGATTACCAGACGGTCATTTAAAATTTAAGGCATATTATAAAAAAAGGTTTAACTGTGTTCACGTGTATTTCAAACAAAATAAGTCAAATTGCTACTTGGATAGCCACGAGATACGTTGCAAGATTAGACCCACGAATTTTTGCAGTACTGTGCTGTTTTGCATTCATTCAAAAACAACTACCAATATCAACGAGAATATATTATAACCGGTTTTTGTTTGTTAAAGCTAATGTAGTACTTTTTAGGTAAACAGCAAGCAATGCAGTGTAGGTTGGCGTAGAGTATGGACGCGACCTCGGCACGATTACTAAAATGTATATATCTTTATCTTACGTTCACATAATAAATGTTTACTAGTGGTCCCGCAGTAGTCGAAATTCGACTATAATTAATAGAAATTATAAGTTTGCACATTATTATGATTCTATTGTCAAATTCTATAATCACAGGAAAATAATATTAACGACAAACAATAGGTATTTAATGTATTCTCAATTTGACCACAGACTATAAGCAATAAGAAAAGTTTGACAATAAACAAACAGTATGCATGCGTGTGTCAAATACATGGTAGTGTGTGTAATGTTTTTTTTTAATTGATTTATTGTATTTTATGCATAATTTAAAAAAAATGAGCATTCTGCGCTTCTTCTCTATACGTGTGAGAAATTTCATACTGCTCCGTCCGCACAATTTTCGTAAAAAGGGATTCAAAGTTTTTACTTCACGTATTAATATATAGATAATACTAGCAAAATCATGCAACGTGACTTCGGTCGTTGATTATGAGCGAGTGTTTCAATCTTTTTATAATACGAACGAGCGATTTAAAGTCCTGACAGGATGAAGACTGGCGAGTGGGGCATTAAAAAAAGCGTCCCCTGCAGGCGGTCATTGGCAGCGGGTAGGTCGAGCCGCATTCCTATGCGCCAGCGCACCGCACGCACTTGCACGCCCACACGCACCGGCTCGCTACTGCGACATAGCTTAACCGACCGGTTAACGAGTGCCCTCTCGATTCGTCTAATACGCCGACCCTCAGCGTCTTTACGATTCAGTCAGGGTAAACGCTTTCGTAGAACGAGGGCAGTACAATCGTTCATTAATAACACGGTCGACCGTGTCACGGCACCGATGGCTTCCGGCGTACGCCACGCATCTACCTTCATCAATCATATAGGAATCGTATTGGCGCGCCGGGTCGCCAGTACTCGACACGATCGCTTACACAATGCGCGCAATACTTGTGATGGTACTGTGTACGAATTTCAATAAGACCTCGCCCCGCCCTCCCCCTCACTTTTGTAACCCGTTTATGAGCGCACGACAATGATGGCGAACGAATGTGTCGTTACACGTACACCTGCTTTTCAATTATCGAGTATAATAAGTTACGTAATAATGGAAGTCCGGCCTCCCACACGTTTTTGTAAAATAAAAGTAAATAGTGTCGTTGCCATTATCTGATCTGTCGGCGGTGCGACGGCGGATTGCGTGGGCGAGCAGCTCCCTTGAATGGACGTGTTGGATGGTCGGCACCCACGCTCCACGACCCACGTACCGTCATATCGCTGAGCTGAGACCCTACCTACTATATAATATTTTCACCTGGTTTTTATCGTTACATAACGTGTAAACAACTATATACTTATAAATGTTGCCTTTACTTATAAAATATACTGTAATTTAGTTATGTAAATCGAGGAGACGTTGCTGACGATCTTAGAAGAAGAAAAAGGTTGAAATGAAAAAGCTTTGTTTTATTGGGGTAGCTTTCGACGCGCCTCTTGTTAAACGCTGACCGGAAATCATAGATATCGTAGGAAAGTGACTGCCTGCCTTCAGAAATGTAGTCGGAAGTCTCAATGGTATTGGGATAATGGTTTGCTCTAAGAGAGCTGTCAAACCGAAACGCAAGATGCGGCAGAAACAGGCATAACGTTAACAGTAAACAAAATCGAACATACAAACTTTTTTATTTATGGATTGCATATTACATAGTGTCATCGAACTCATAGCCAACCTATGAACCCTGGAGACATGAGATCAAAGAATCAATTGCATAGAGGCATAACGACTACGCCAATCCTTCCAACCTGAACCCGTGACTGTGTGGGAGGCTTAACGACAGAGGGAAGATCTTTCACCAGGTGATATTGCTCGGTAGACCAACGATTCTAATGTTGTTGTTCGGAACTTGTATATATGCTGGCTTATCTTGAAAATGTCGGAAGCGAGATTCAGGTATCTGTCAAATACCTTGTATTCTATGAAGGCTACCGCTAAAACTGCTTCGCCGCAGAAATTGCACCCGTGAGGGTTTATAAATACTCCTCCCTACCATCACCAGTAATTACGAAAATTATATACTTTTTCAAATGTGAATATGTGTTATAAGTTATATCATTAGAAAACTGACCCAAGGAATGATTAACAGCATATTCTCATCGCTTGGTACGAACGCATCGAGCATCTTATACTTTAAAATTAAATACATTGTACGTAGTCCTTCTGGGGATATCTCCATGTGCTTAAATATTATAAGCAACATTATTATTAAAATTTGTAAAAATAAAAATATTACTCATATGACCCAAAATGAACTGATTTTGATTACTCAAAATAAAAAGAATTTGTGTATCTATACAAATATCTATTTTTTAATAAAACTCAGTCTCTATGTAATAAATAATTAAACAGTTAAAATAAAAAATTATAGATCATGATGACATCGATTCTGCAGATGAAAACAAAATATGAGTTTTGTTTTCAATTGAATGGAGATTTAACATTTAAAGATCACCAGGGGAACGTGAGTTGAATCCATGATCAACGTTTGACGGTGACGCGATGAAACGGGAGACGGGCTCGCTTAATTTGATTGCTTTTAAAATAGTAAACTGAATGACTACGAGACGATTGAAAGGGCGAATTCAGAAAAGTGTCGCGTGGGAGTTGGGAGGAGACGCGTTGGCGTCGCTGAAGCGGGGCGCGGGTACGCGTGGGCGGCCATTGAGCCAGGGGGCAGGTGAATGGAGATTCCCTTCCCCCATTCACAGCCCACGATCGATGCCCGCCCCCGTCCGTATCTACCCTGCCGCACACCTACCGTTCGCCTTAACATAAATAGCAAAACAATGAAACAGCCTATTTATTACAAAGATCTTGCATTTCCATTTAATTTCCATAGATGTGACATTCCGAGTAGATCATACATTGACCTTGTGTTCTCAAATTAATCAAATACAACAAGCTCACAATAGAAAATAGACTATTCTAGAGAAAACCTTATTATTATTTGTTAAAAACTAGTGATCCGCCCTTGCTTCGCTTCGGAAACTGTAATTTATTATTGACTTCTCCACTATTTAATGGATGTTATTATACATATAAACCTTCCTCTTCAATCACTCTATCTATTAAAAAAACCGCATCAAAATCCGTTGCGTAGTTTTAAAGATTTAAGCATACATAGGGATATAGGGACAGAGAAAGCGACTTTGTTTTATACTATGTAAGTATGTAGTGATGTCACTAGATTTGAATTATTTACTACTAGCGACCCGCCCTCGCTTCGCTTCGGAAACATTAAAACACACATGAAAGCAAAAAAATTAAATATTTTTTTTTTTAAAAGTATCCTATGTTCATCAGGGACAATGTCGGCTTCTAATGGAAAAAGAATTTTTCAAATCGGTCCAGTAGTTTCGGAGCCTATTCGAAACAAACAAACAAACAAATCTTTCCTCTTTATAATATTAGTATAGATGGAAAATTTTAAAAATGTTTTTTTTATATGATGGTAAATTTCTGCGCCTGGAAACAAATTCCACGAAGTCGCAAAGCCGGGGGTAAATTCTAAGCTTACTAATAATTACTTATCTGGATTTGATCAATATTTAATGCGTAGGATTGTACGTAGGATTCATAGTGCGTAGGCGATATTATTATAGAGATTTTGTGCGTATTTTACTTTCAATCAAAAATAGTTACATTAAGCGGTATATAAAAATATGTTAATACCAAGAATCGTGTTTTGGAATTAAAATTTTTAATTCTCAATCGATCGAATATTAATGTAAACGTTTTACGTTGTCTGTCTACGAATGTTGTTTTTTTTTTAACGAAAGAAACCTCTATAGTATCATCAGTTTCGCGCGTCGTGGACTTAAAACTATTTTTATGTATAAATCTTGCTCCGGTTCCGAATACTTTACAATAATCCTTGTATATAGAATATAGAGGATTTTTTTTATTGCTTTGATGGGTGGACGAGCTCACAGCCCACCTGGTGTTAAGTGGTTACTGGAGCCCGTAGACATCCACAACGTAAATGCGCCACCCACCTTGAGATACAAGTTCTAAGGTCTCAAGTATAGTTACAACGGCTGCCCCACCCTTCGAACCGAAACGCATTACTGCTTCACGGCAGAAATAGGCAGGGTGGTGGTACTCACCCGCGCGGACTCACAAGAGGTCCTACCACCAGTAAAAAAGTGCAGAATGTTAAATTTTTTTTTTAAATTATGCATAAAATACATTAAAATCGATAAAAATAATAATTACACACACTACCATGTATTTGACACACAGACGCAGGCATACTATTTGTTTATTGTCAAACTTTTCTTATTGCTTATAATCTGTGGTCAAATTGAGAATAGATTGTATTAATAATAAAGGCGAGATTAAATCGAAAGAAAGTCATTTATAGTTTGAATTCACAGCGATGAGAATTGATTTATATATACAATGTACGGCTCTTTTAAACGAACTTATATTTATTTAGGGAATTGAGACCGTTGATCAGTTATTGATTTGAACATTTGATACTTCAGGTCTCTGCGTATTTCGGGTTCGGGTTGCGAGGAGACCCTGTCCTCTGGCTCGTCGTCGGAGTGCGAGGAGGTGCACAGCCACGTCCAACAGGACTTCCCTATCGAGATCCTGCCGAATCTGTACCTCGGTAACTCCACCAACAGCGAGGATTGCGAAGCTCTCGCCAGGCATAATATTAAGGTGATTATTCTATTCTGTGTGCTTAGTGCGAGTTTCTTAACGTTCTCGATAGCGTAAAAGTTAACCCAATTTTGTCTGTAACGGCCGTCTGCTGTAGTGGTAAGTGACATGGTCACTACACAAGGGGGTCGCGGGTTCGAATCCCGCCAAGGGAAGATATTTGTATGATAAATATAAATGTCTTTTCCAGGGTTATGGATGTATATTAAATATATGTATGTGTATAATAAAAATATTACATTTATTTCCGTTATCTGGTACCTGTAACACAAGTTCTTTACGAACTTACCACGGGACCTGTTAACGTGGCGTGATTGTTAGTAACTATTTATTTATTTATTTTTAATTGGAACAGCGCCCCTAGCGGCAAACGTACGCAAACGATTCCATTCCATACAAATATGAGCTAACTTTTACGCTATCGAGAACGTTAAAAAACTCGCACTAAGCACACTGATGAAACATTTTATACGCGTTCCATTTAGCTCATAAGTAAGGTCGACACAAGTTCTTTTATGGCACTTTTGATTGGCAAATCAGAACACGGAAACAGTAGGAGAGTTGAGTTAGAAAATAGAGCCAGAGAGTATAGAATTATTGTCATGTAAGGTTCTCGTATTGACCGAATTAGTGGAGCAGTGGTTATCGCCTCCGTTTGCAGTGCCAATAGTTGTGGGTTCGATCCCCGCTTCGACCAAACATTCGTTTTGTCTGGGTGCTTAATTACAATTTAAGGCATTTAAATTTGTAAATCATTCTGTGGTTCCCATAGTACAGGGAATCCTAGTTTGGCGCCCGATGACCGTGTGGGACTTGTGCACTGTTATTTATTTTATTTGAAGTCGTCGTGGTCTAAAGGATAACGCGTCCGGTGCATTGGTATCAAGTGCATGTACCAGTGTTCGAAACCCGCAGGCGGGTAGCAATTTTTCTAATGATATACGTACTTAACAAATGCTCACGATTGACTTCCACGGTGAAGGAATAACATCGTGTAATAAAAACCAAACCCCAATAATATAATTTGCGTAGGACGTCATGTACCACCCTGCCTATTTTCTGCCAAGTAGCAGCAATGCGTTTCGATTTAAAGGGTAGGGTGGGGGGTACCCGTGGTGTAAAAAACTAAGACCTTAGAATTCATTTCTAAAGGTGGGTGGGCGTTTACGTTGTAGATGTCTATGGGGCTCCGGTAACCACGTAACACTAGGTGGGCCGTGAGATCGTCAACCAATCCACAGTAAAAAAGTATATATTTGATAATATATTTTATTAACATGCAACTATGATTGGTTTTCCGGAAACAGTACGTGTTGAATGTGACACCGGATCTGCCGAACACGTTCGAAGCTGAGGGATGCGGCATCAACTATCTGAAGATTCCCATCGCGGACCACTGGAGCCAAAACCTGGCGGTGCACTTCCCTCAGGCTATAAGATTCATCGGTTAGTATTCATTGTATTTATTTTGGTTAGTCGTATTAAACAGATTAAAATTTTTTTTTTAGATATTAATAGGAAATAATATTGTATAATAGAAAACGTGACCTCCTCTTAGGTAGGACCTCTTGTGAGTCCACGCGGGTGGATACCACCACCCTGCCTATTTCTGCCGTGAAGCAGTAATGCGTTTCGGTTTGAGGGGTGGGGCAGCCGTTGTAACTATACTGGGACCTTAGAACTTATATCTCAAGGTGGGTGGCGCATTTACGTTGTGGATGCCTATGGGCTCCAGTAACCACTTAAGACCAGGTGGGCTGTGAGCTCGTCCACCCATCTAAACAATAAAAAAAAAGTGACGTATTTCAAGTGTGGCAAAGACCAAACCATTCTGGATAAATTAAATAATAAATTATAAAGATAATTCAGTTGGGAATTGATTGGTCTTTTTTTTTTATTGCCTTTGTAGGCAGACGGGCATACGGCCCACCTGATGGTGAGTGGTTACCGTCGCCCATGGACTTCAGTAATGTCAAGGGCAGAGCCAAGCCGCTGCCTACCGCTTAATATTCTCCACAAGCTTCGTTTGAAGAAGGACATGTCATAACGCTCGGGAAACACCGTGGAGGGGAGCTCATTCCATAGCCGGATGGTACGTGGCAAAAAAGATCTCTGGAAACGCACTGTGGATGACCGCAGTGACTCCAGGTAGTATGGATGAACTCTACTCCGGTGGCGGGCGGTGCGATGGTAAAAACGAGATGCCGGTATCATCTCGAACAGTTCCTCAGAGCACTCCCCATAGAACATACGGTACAAAATACAGAGGGAACCGAAGTCCCTCCGCAGACCCAGAGGTTCCAATGGTCTGCTATTTTAGTTAAATTGTGTTCGCGTCGAGGGTTGCGTGTAGTAAGTACAACGGTTAATCGAACACTATGTACTAAACAATATAAATACATGGGATGTTAATGAAATTAAAACAATCATCTAATCATTACTTTTATTAATGAAGTATTTATGGCTAATTTACTGCACAATTCTAAAATACCATTGAGAGTTCGATCTCATGACACACCGTGCCGTATTGGGAATGTTGTCATATTATGTGACTTATTGTTGTAATTTAAATGATTAGGTTTTTTATTTTGCCCCCAAATGACGTCACATATAAAGAAGTTTAGGTTTTTGCGTGTTTTGTTAAGTGTTCGGAATATGTGAGCTGTGTAGTTCTTTATTTATAAATTGATTTATGAATGTTTCAGAGGAAGCGATGTCTGCGCGGTGCGGCGTGCTGGTGCACTGCGTGGCGGGCGTGTCCCGCTCCGTGACCGTGACGCTGGCGTACCTGATGCAGCGGCACCGGCTGTCCCTGCGCGACGCCTTCGAGCTGGTCCGCAGCCGCAAGACGGACATCGCGCCCAACTTCCACTTCATGCGGCAGCTGCACTCGTTCGAGCGCGACCTCGGCCTGCACGAGCACAGCGCCAGCTTGAGTAAGGTCTGCGCTCCGACGGGACCCCGCGCCGCGCTGCCCGTGTGACGGCGCGGGGCCGCGGCTAAGGCGACTGTGTGCCCGCAGGTGCTGCACGAGACGGCGGGCGGCGGGCGCGCGCGCGGGGAGGGGGGCGCCGTGCCCTACGGCGTGTCGCCCGACTCCGGCATCGAGTTCGACCGCTGGAGCGCGCCCCGGGACACCCCGCAATGACAGTTCTTCTGTCCGCAGCCTCCGCCCTCGCCCTCTCCGCCTGTCCGCCGCGGCCGCCCTCGCAGCCCCGGCCAATCCGATCCGCCCTCGTAGAGTGATCCGATGCAGTCCGGGGACCGCGCCGGGGGTCCGGTCTCGTGTTGTTAGTCGCAAGATAACAGTTACTGTAGGGTGTCGTGACGTGTACTTTGTACGTATTTGTTAAGTCAATTTTGTAAGTTTCTTTGAATAGTATCGTTGTTTTAATTAATATTTAGGATATTAAATAACAAGTTGAATGCATTCCTGAATGAATCTTCCAATGTACTGTACACTTCTGTTTGCGACGGTTCGCCGCCAGAGGGCAGGCACCGCAGACGTGTCGCGCGGTCCGCGCCGACCTCGCTCTGTGCCACGTCCACATTTAAACCAAATATTACGTACGGTGGACGATGTGGTATGCGTTTAGGACTTCTAATTCTTCTTCCATTGTTGTTTACGTGTGAGATTGTATTTTATATGAGAGCGAATGCGCGAACGTGCGTGTGATATATTGATAATACAACGTAGCTAGTTTCGATTCATCACATAAATATATTTACATTTGTAATGAAGATATTACTTATTCTATTAGAGTATGTTAAATTTACATTCGACAAGAGAGACTCAAAGAAGAACCTATTTAATGTCTATAGGTCGATCGAGTATTTATTTTTTCTATGAAAACACTGGAATCTCCTTCCCGCGCTCGAATATGAGAACGATCAATCCAGGCCGTATGTGGACAGTTCATCTTTTAATGTTATTTACATATTTATTGATAGTTTAATCTTCATATTTGTATCACGATGCGACAATCTTGATACTATTTTTATACGGATCACTTTGTACCTATAGACAAGTAGTTCGGACACTTGGCGTGACGTGAACACAGCATCACGAAGTTTCGCCTCAACAGGTTTACTATGGGCGATCAATATATTATTTTATAGTAAAAATGTTTAATTATAAATCGGGTTTCAAATTCAGTGGCGTTAACGTTCGTATGTTGTTTTAGAATTGTTGTTATCTATAAATCATAAAATGAATACGAAGAAATTTACATATTTTTCTAAATCAAATTAATGACAATTATTCACAAAATCTTTTAGTAGGTAAGTAAGTGGCAAGCTTTAACAATAAGTATATTAATTATTATTACAAGAGAGTAGTGAATTGTTGCGAAATAAATGTACATTTGTTGTAGAATAAGAATTACTCTAGAGACTCAGCTTACTTAACGATGAAGGCCAATTTATTTTTAAGGTTTCATCCAAATATTAATTCAATGTTTGCGTTAGAGTAATTAAGTGTTTTTCATAATTTTCATTTTTTTTTCTTTAGCCAAAAATAAGAACCTTCAATGTTAAATTCGATATTGAAAAGATTCCAAGCTTACTAGCATAGCATACTAGGGATCGGTGAAAAAAAATCTTGTGTACAAATTATGTATGTGAAGAACTATTATAGACTATGTGTTATATAGTTATTCTAAATCAGTGTTTGCACTGACGTTCTTATATTTCTATATTGAATGTTATATTATTGTAATGCACAAAATAATTAATGGCCGTAAACTTCGACATAAAATCCGTAACAAAAACAGTTAATTAAATATTTAATGAAATGTAGAAGTTGTTAATTTGATGTAAATGTAACTGGAAATGTTTTACATGTATTTGTGATTCTTTGTAAAGTACCTACTGCAGACATGTGGCTGCGGCACACACATTAACCTCAAGACAAAAAATATAAACACTGTTAACTGAATTTATTGGTTTTATTTTTTATGATTTTATTAATTTAGTGACACATACGCGATTATGTGACACGCTTATAAAATTGAATTACTAAGATGGTCGACCTTAACTAAACTGTACTACATACAACACCCCCAGATTATGGATGAAAGAGCCATTTGAACCAAAAAGTTTATCATACATTAGATGGTAAGACCTCTTGTGAGTCCGCACGGGTAGGTACCACCACCCCGCCTATTTCCGCCGTGAAGCAGTAATGCGTTTCATTTGAAGGGTGGGGCAGCCGTTGTAACTGTACTGAGACCTTAGAACTTATATCCCAAGAGGGGTGGCGCATTTACTTTGTAGATTACTATGGGCTCCAGTAACCACTTAGCACCAGGTGGGCTGTGAGCTCGTCCATCCATCTAAGCAATAAAAAAAAAAAGATGATGATTTTTCCTTTATTTTTCTATTAATTAAAAATTTAATTCATGAACGCGAACAACACTTCACGGTCAGCGTAGTTTATTTCATAACCTAAGAAACTATTCGAACGCGCTGACTGGTAGGTGAACACACGGGGTTCCATCTGAGGCAAGTGATAATTCATTGGATGCCCTTCGAGAATAGGTTCGGTGTCATATGGAAATAGCGTTTTTAATGCTCGCTTGAAGTATAGAAGTATCGATACTTCTATACTTTTACACACTAGAACCACGCTTTCGAGATCGGAAGGAATCGGATTCTGGCGACAAGAAACAGCTCTATGGAAATTGTAGAAGCCAACAAGAATTTGCTATAATTACATTTTGTAAAACTCGATTTAAATACAGGGTGTCCAAATTAAATGACAAACCGAGAACAAACGTTCTGCTAGAATAATCGAATCGAATCGAAAAAAAAAAGTTCAGGAATAAATAGTACCTACTTGAACATAACGAACAAACTATTCTTCTGCCCACCCTTGGATGATGTTTTGTTTATCTTAATAGTTAGTTAGTTAATTTGTAGAAAAAATAAAGGCTGACCCCTTTAAAAAAATATTATAAATTGGGAAGAAACGACGCGAGGAGGGGGAGGCGGAGAAAATAAAATATATGAGTATTTTTTTTTTGCCTAGATGGACGGACGAATCCATGGCCCATACGGTATTAGGTGGTCACCAGAACCCATAGACATCAATAACGTAAATGTCACCGCCCAACTTGAGATAGTCATTCTAAGTCTTATATTTTACTACGACGGCTTCCTCACCCTTCAAATCGAAATGCATCAGTGCTTCATGGCAGAAATAGGTAGGGTGGTCGTATCGACACGTGCGGGCTTACATGACGCCCTAGCACCAGTTAGTACCACCAGGAAGTAAACGTAATAATACTGGTCGAGCGAATTGCGTGCACATATTTTATAGGTTTATTTCTGCCAAATAGGCAATATCATTACCTATTTATTCTCTTTAGAACGTCGTGAACAATCTATATCGTCTAAGTCGAAGTTACTTAAGTGATAACTTGAATCACTTTTATCTCCGCATTATTGGAATTTTCACAAACATTTATATCCATAAATCGGAGAACTAGAGTAAAAATTATTGTACAAAATTTCAATAATGTAAAATTTTCAACTTTATAGTTGGATTTTCTATAAAAGCGTATTTTTTTAGTTTTTTTAAACTAATATTTATTTATCAATTTTTAGTTGTTTCAATTTTTTTTTAATATTTAATTGTCATCAGTCCATAATAAGTATGTCAAATTTCGAGTTAATCCGACGTTTTGAAGGGGGTCAAAATCATGTTCAAAGATATCGTTACATACTAACATACATACGTCTGAAGCTAATAAAAGCGTATAAAAATTGCTACAATGCGATCGGCCTAATCGAGCGGTTTCTCTGAACTCAAAAAGACTGAAATACACGCACGTAAACACTCCGTCAGTGTCGCCGGTCTGCTTCAACTGTGTCAGCTTATCAAATAGCCTCTGTTGTCTTTGCCAAGGTAACATTTGGTAACATTACACAACAACATCTATTGATATTTATATGTTTGTTTAAAGAAACTAGTTATGTAATTAATACATCAAGTGGAATAAAGAACGAATAGGTATATAAATAAAAAAATCGAAAATGTTTACCGATACTTTATTATAAGGAAGATAAAATACAATAGTAAATTATTTAACAGTAATTGGTGTCAATAACCACTATTCCCATTATTTCTTAACACGAACAGGAGCCGCTCAGTGTAGTTATGTACAAATTAGCTGTTCAATAAAACACACCGTACTACAAATAAATCTCAATCTTTGCTAATTGACTATCGTTGGGTGAATACTGAGAAACATATTAATAATTAATTCCCAGAAACTAGACTAACTATATCGAATAGGCCTCGTTACCATCGTCTATAAACTCTCGATATATTTAAATAAAAAAATTTACATATACAAAACACATGTAAAAATACCTTAATTTAAAAATGATTGAACTAATTTTTATTTACATCTAATCGGTGCTGCGGACTAATGAAATGTTTATTGCATACAATTTATAAAATTTACGCTACAAGTATACAGAGATTATCTGTAATTTTAGCTGAAAAGATAACATTGTGATACTTTTGTGTTCAATAAATCGAGTTTGATATTTTTTTAAATAGATAATTACATTAGGATAAAGTGATGTGCATTTTAATAAAATTTTACTTGGAATATGATACTCGGCTGGCTAAACCTGCCTTATTTTTTTATTATTATAATTTAACATCGAAAATTACAGTACATTTTTTTAGTATTACTCATCAAAGTAAATAAAACTTGTATAATTTGAAAAGTATTGTCCCGTAGACGTAATAAAAAAAAAACCTAAGTACGCTGCCTGCTAAGGCAGACAAAATAAAGTGATTCATTGATTCAAACACATGATTCATCGAGATACTAATACTACGAAATAGTGTTGTGACATTATAATTTGTGTAATCACTACAAGCGAATTACTTAAATAATTAATAACCGTACAGTATACATACAAGTTTGGCACAAAAAGTGCTAATTATAATTAAGTAATTTATGTAATTTATATTCAACATTATATCTTTCACAGTATCGTATTGCTTTTTGTTACAAAGATATTATTGTATCGTAAATATAGAATTTAGTACAATTATTAGTGTCTTACACAAAGAAGTACTCGGTCATGATAGAAGGGAATGTTAGAAAAATAGATTAGGCATTCTTTGGAATGTAACGAAGTTTCTGAAAAGAGCCATGGGAAGTCACAGTATGGTGTCGAAATTAATGATTATTATTCAGGTCAAGGCGAAGGCACCTTCTGATTATATTTTATCCATATTGGTCCTCCAAGGTAATCTTAATATAACAAATACAATGAAACACGTAATCTATTTACGATGGCACTTAAAATTTCGCACGAAATAATTGATTCCATTCGGATGTGCCACGAAATTACTTCAATAATAACAATAATAAAATTTTTATATCATATAATATTCAAATTTATTAAAAAAATTCAATACTTTTTAAATGTCTCGTAACATTGCACTAGCTGCTAAGGCGACGCGGTGTACATCCAATCAAATTGTCTTCATAATATAAAATATATTGGGTCTATTCTAATTTACTTGTAAATTGGTGCTGAGGTTCAATCAAGGCATACTTGGGTACATATTTATTCGATAAGTTAAACTCATGTCTACTCATAAAATATGTTAAATTTTCTAAAAATAAATCCCTACAATGTACGGGACTTGTGAATCGTGCTCTATCAAAAATCGTAAGTGCTTCTTAATACTGGTACTGGATCATACGAGATGTATTGGCGCGTTGGTTGTTAGGTACATAGTTCAATATATTAAGTAGTATGTAGTGTCTGGNATATTTACTTGATAAGTTAAACTCATGTCTACTCATAAAATATGTTAAATTTTCTAAAAATAAATCCCTACAATGTACGGGACTTGTGAATCGTGCTCTATCAAAAATCGTAAGTGCTTCTTAATACTGGTACTGGATCATACGAGATGTATTGGCGCGTTGGTTGTTAGGTACATAGTTCAATATATTAAGTAGTATGTAGTGTCTGGTCATCAACGTACAGCGTCTATGTCCCGTTGGGCGCGCGATATTTTGACCTGTGACAGAAATAAGTTTTTCTTGTTACGATTATAAATTACAAACATTTTACTATTGCCCAAGAATTAGGAGTTACTGTGAGATAATTTGATTTTAACAGATTTCCACTGGTGATAGGACCTCTTGTGAGTCCGCCCGGGTAGGTACCACAGCCCTGCCTATTTCTGCCGTGAAGCAGTAACGCGTTTCGGTTTGAAGGGTGGGGCAGCCTTGGAACTATACTGAGACCTTAGAACTTATATCTCAAGGTGGGTGGCGCATTTACTTTGTAGACGTCTATGGGCTCCAGTAACTACTTAACACCAGGTGGATTGTGAGCTCGTTCACACATATAAGCAATTAATAAAAAAAAATTTTTTTGAGATTAGTTTCAAACTGGTTTAATGTAGAATTGACAAGGAATCTCGTTGTAGTAGCGACGGACGCGCGCGTGTACCTTGTCCTTGGGCGTGGAGGCGTCTCCGGCTTCGAGCGCGAACATCTTCATCTTCTCCTTGAAGGAGAGCTGCTCCGGGATGGGCTGCGCCGTGCTGCGCGCCTGCTGCTCCGCCAGGCGCCGGGCGCGGGGGTCTCTGAGGGCGTAACATTAAATATATTGTAAGAGCATACCTATTTGGAGTGCATATACTAGATATACAATCTTATACATTTTTTTAAGTAAACCAGTCCGGATTGAAAGACGGCCATTATACAAACCAATTTCGAACTCACATTTTTTTTATTGCTTAAATGGATGGACGAGCTCACGGCCCACCTGATATTTAGAAGTTACCGGAGCCCATAGACATCTACAACGTAAATGCTGCCACCCACCTTGAGACATAAGTTCTAAGATTTCAGTTTTTACAGTACAACAGCTGCTCCACCGAAACGCATTACTGCTGCGCGGCAGCAATACGCAGGGTGGTGGTACCTACCTTATCTCATTATCTCAAGGTAGCAACACTCATGTTCTGATGCTTATGAAGTAAGCCACTTGCACCCGTGTGAAAACTTCACACAAAAAATGTTGGTAAATTTATTTATATCAAAATAATGAAAGTAACGTAATTAGGTGAGTATAGAGGAAGACCACTGACCTGTACACCTCCTGCGCGCCGATGACGCCGGGCGTGTGCGCGGGCGGCGCGGCGCTCGGCGACACGCCCGCCGACGACGGGCTCGCTAGCATGGACTCCGCTTCTTCAATAAACCGCTACGTAAACATAAAATAATTCAATTAACAATGACAATGACGAAGCATGTTGTCGATAACCCTGTTTCTATGATCTGACGAAGCGTGTTGCGGATAATAATATGTACTTTTAGGTTAATAAAATAATATTTTGTGTAAATGTTTAGAAATAAACTTATGATTCAATTAACATTACGGTCAGTGACATTAACAATTGTCTGGTAATGTACAAATTCTAATCACAGTCAAACTAATAATGTACTTGCTTATCTACACATTTAAAACAATAACATCTTGAAACTCATTTATTATTCGCGGATGGATCGGTGTGCTTAGTGCGAGTTTTTGAACGTTCTCGATAGCGTAAAAGTTAACTCATATTTGTATGGAATGGAATCGTTTGCCTACGTTTGCCGGTAAGGGAGCTGTTCAAACTGCATATAAAATTGGGTTAACTCTTACGCTATCGAGAACGTTGAAAAATTCGCACTAAACACACTGGACTGCCCAATAATGCAACTGGACACGTCTGCATGTTGAGCACCCTGGATCCAAACCAGCCTTTAGTTTAAGGTAGTTTTGACATTCATTTTTATTTTTTGTATTATTAGTATTTGTATTTTTATTTTATTCCGAAATTTTAGTTATTGTTAATGAATGTCATATGGATGCAAAATTTGAAGTAAATGAAATAAATAAATAAAAACAAAAATAGTACATATTTTACTATTAATAAATGTTTGAGGATGATTACGAGTACATACGTCCGGGTCCTCCCTGTGTTCGTGTTCGTGCAGCGGGGGCGGGGAGGAGGCGGGCGGGGAGGGCGGCGAGGGGGGACTGCACCCGCGCTCCTCGAACGACACTCGCTTGTCGCGCGCCACGCTCGACGGAGACCTGCGGACGCACCGAACGTCGCCTTGTCATTTGTTTATCAAAACACCAGATTTATCTACACACGCATTTAATACTTTTTGAGCATTAATACTTTTACTACACCTATAAAAACTGTACAGATGGATCAAAGTAGGGATTTTAGTTACAACGACGTGATATCGTAAATATACTCTGAACGCTATGATATGTCCTTCTTCAAACGAGGCTTGTGGAGAGTATTAAGCGGTAGGCAGCGGCTTGGCTCTGCCCTGGCATTGCTGAAGTCCATGGGCCGAATGCTCGTCTGATGTAATGTACCACATCGATGTAATCACAGTTAACTTATAGTTGTACTCAACCAAAGACTCTTATATTATATGGATATCATACAATGTTTTGTATTAGATACTGGATCATCCTGTGTTAAATTTGCAATAATTAATTTGAATGTACTTTTATCTTCAATTCCTATAATTACAACCAATACAGACTTTATACTAAGCTTTGAGGTCTGACCGACCCAAAGGTACTCATTTTACTTTCAAAACATATTTGAATAGTACAGATACACACAGCGGTGCGGGTGCGGAGACGGGTGCGGGCGCGGGCACCGGCGCCACGTCGACGTGGCGTGTCCGCTCCGCCATCACCGCGAACGAGGAGCCGCGGGGGGGAGCCGGCGGCGGGGGAGGGGCGGGAGACGCGCTCATCGACAGCGACATCACGCCTGCACTCACCGAACCCACTGACGTCACTTCCTCGCTTATTGTCACCTGTAAAACAAATTTAGAATTTAAACCGGGTCCAGTGAGGACTGCTTAAGCCTCATGTTTCAATAGGTGGTGTCGTTATATATTGTGATGTCTACGGTTACAGGTATATTTCGTAGCAGGTAAAAACGCCTATTTAATTAAAGCATTTTTGACTGTTCATTCAATGTAAGACATGAAAAGAATGAATGTAAATGCATTTTACTGTATAGAATAGGTTATAATTCTTATATTCTCTTCAAATTAGCATTAATTTAAATAAAGTGTATTAAGGATATTCTTTTGTTCTCGCTTTTTATCTCACATACACGAATGTACTAGTAATAACATTGCGTGGATTTTTTATTGGGTTTTTAAAACTTACTTCTACCACCAAATATGAATAAAAATTTTATCTTACGATTTTTAATGATAGGCTTACCGTTTCCAATGTTGGATTATTTTTGCAAATAAAAATATTAACACGAATTGTCCGGTGTTACAATAAAATCAAACCTTCATATTAAATTTGATTCTACGAATAAATTAATATTTTATTGGCTTACAGTCTCGGTGGTGGTAGTTTGGTATCCATTAGTGAGTTCAGTTCGAGTGTTGGTCTTGAGAATGGACTTAGGCGGATGCGGAGATGGTTGTAGGGGAGCCTCTATGCAAGATTCCGGAGATGAACGGTCTTCATCACCACCACCTTCAGTAGTTCCCCCTTCCTCCTGGAACATGTGGATCGTTAAGATTTCTAATCTAGAGAATGGTGATTGGATTATTTATTACATAAAAAGCTTCAGCTAAATAGATAGCGCCGTGCAACCTTCTTACGTGTCGCTGGCTCGTATGGAGAACTATTCACACCAGGTGGGCTGTGAGCTCGTCCACACATCTAAGCAATAATNTGCTGTTTTTCATGTTATTTACTTCAAGTAACCAGTTGTCTTTTTGAAAAAATAGGATTAATTCTATTGCTGTACAAAAATTTCTAATCGTCGTTGAGCCACGGGAATAGAACCATTCGACTGAGTTTTTTTTTCTGATTCCAAATATGAAATAAAAAAAAATCGTGACTGATGTGGGTTACAGCAGGTTTGCTTTTTGCCGTCGATATTGTTATATGTGTAGTAACTGTTTTTGTTTATCATAATGTGAAATCAACGGTAGCTAGAAAAAAAACCAAGAAATTGATGGCAGGCTATTGTTTACTAAGCGTGTCGTGTACAGAACCACCTACGTAATTTATAGGTCATAGAACCCTAAGGTAAACAACCAATTTCATAATAATATGCATGTTGGCATGTATGAATAAATTTACAACAATTTCATTCCAATTTAACGATCTGATACTTTTGGAGTGGAATCTTTTTTACATATGCTGTAATTTAAAAGCCAAGTAAAGGAAACATACATAATTAGGTACTAGGTGGGAGAATGATAATTTTAAAACTTCACTTTTACCACGTGTCAACAGCTCACGCTTGTTTTGTTGCTATGCCTTCTACAATAAGCCGTTAAACAGACAAGCTGTTGCCCTTACTTATTTATCTATACTCCCCTTTATTAATCTATACTCTATACTAATATTATAAAGAGGAAAGATTTGTTTGTTTGTTTGTATTGAATATGCTCCGAAACTACTGAACCGATTTGAAAAATTTTTTCACTGTTTTGAAGCTACACTATTCCCGAGTGATATAGGCTTTTTTTTTAAAAACTTCGGGATCCTTACTGAAACTGCAATAATGTAACCCAAGGTGTAAAAAAATTACCTAAAATATTCTTTACATCGCGTGCCCTGCGAAAACTATTGATGATAGAATAAAATAATGTACTACGACTTTGTAGAACACATTATTATTTACAAAAAGTGTCGCGAGAGCATGTCTAACTATTATAGTTATGCTGTAATAAGTGTCCTTTTATTTAAAAAAATAAAAGAACATCAAATATCGTTGAAATTTTTGTTAAAGACCCGAGCTAAGTCGGAGCACGCCACTTGTAAAGTATATAGGCAGGAAAGCGTGTTGTTGTTCAGTGGAGGGGTCCCGCGCACCTGGTCGTGTTGCGTGGCTCGGAGCTCGAAGTCCCGCTCGAGCTGCAGCGCGCGCAGCTGCTGGCTCTGCGCCGCCGACCGCGCCGCGCCCAGCGCCACCAGGTGCGCTATCGTCGCGTCCCTGTTGTGTTATATACACTTGTACTCCAAATTCTTGTTACACTACATTATTTAATAGCAAACAACGACGGCTTCGCACGAATTAAACAGGAGTGTTTCATAACTATAATATCTAGATTCCATCTAAGCACCATTTTTTTTACACATTTTTTTTACTCAATACCACTTAAATGATATCGAAATAAGTTTGATGAAAAATTCATATTGGATAACATTTACGTATAATCTGTTCTTAGTGAACTCCCATTCCCGATCCTGCGAACAGAATGGAAAGCAGTCGACGTCGCCCAAAACATGTCATTTCAGATCCTCCCGATCCACTAATGGTGCTTGAGATACCTAAAAGCACCGTTAGTGGATCGTGTATATACCTACATTAGTTCAACTATATGTATTGTTGTGCTAAGAAACTAGATAAAGAACATGCGAGATAATAACTTATAAAGATTTTTGAAATTTTTAAGTGGTTTTGAGGAACATTCAACCTTAATTTGACAACTACTCCACTTCGGTGAGGTGAATTTTCGAGAGAGGTTTGAGTGGAGGTTATTTTTACGATCAAGCAAACAAAACGCGCGTTGGAGGTTGAATCTAGTCGAGTTGAACTCGAGTGAACGAATAAAGATACGGAAGTGAGATATCGTGATGAGTGAGTGATTTTTCGCTTATCTATAGTAGACAATATTGTGTGCGTAGTGCAGGTGCGTGTTGGCGTGCGTACCTGCGGGCGCGGGCGGCCGCGCGGCGCACCTCGGCCTGCCGCTCCCGCTCCTCGCGCTGCCAGGGGCTGGCGGGGTACAGGGCGCTGCCGGACTGCCGCTCTGGGGATAACATAGCATAACTTTAATTCCTAGCCGACTACATTTTACATTATTTATGTTAGAATGACATTGTCAACGCATCTGTTCATTTATTCAAATAAGATCTTTTTTTTTCATTGGCGTTACCATTCCAGGAATGTGAATAAGGTTTTGGTAAAAAAAAATATTATAATTTTTTTACGTCAAAAGTTTCTTAACTTTTGTACCAGAAGACTGATTATTGTCACATTTTAATGCTGACATTATGCAGTATATGTATTAGTTTTGTCATTTTGTACATCTATGTTCGTCCCATCTTATTCTAAAATTAAAATTTTTGAAAACAAATGAAAATTATCGAATTTATTAGCTTTACGCCTATTCCTAGTAATCCTATTATTCAAATTTGTTTTACCTTCATCCGGTTGCATATTCATCATCTGCGGAGGCTGTTGATGTGAAGGCTCTTCCATTTCCATTTCAGGTCTTCTTACATTCTGGTAAAAATCAATATAATTATAGTACTTGTAATAATTAGTATTAGTAGTATTTGCTTATCTATCTTGACTATAAGTTTGGTATCAGATTATACCAGGTCTTCACGTTTCAAAAGTTTTTAAGACAGAATTCTAATATTTCCATTTTTGGATATGACATAATGAGCCAAAATACTGTCACTGTATTATGCCGTCGCAAGAATGTGAATCAAACCTATATATCTATTATCATGTTACCAACTTGGCATTTTTTATTATATAACTACAGGAATATCAAATGTGTTTGTCCACATTAATGAAAATAATATTGTTTTAGATGTTAGTCTTAAGATGCGTAAGATGCGTAGATGTTAGTCTTAAGTTGTCATCAGGTTGGGCGTAAGCTAGCCTGCCTGCATGACAATACCAAACAGATTAGAGTTAACATTTTCTTTTACATTTTGACATTCAACAAGTGTGTTTTTGATGACATCCAAGTTGAAATAAATGATTTTGAATTTGAATTTGAATTTGATTGTTACAACCTGCAGATTGAAAAGCATGAATGCTTCGCGGCAGAATCAGGCAGAATGGTGGTACACACCGCGACTTCCATAGGCGATTGGCAATCGTAGTATGCTCGTATACTACTCACGACAACGCTGCTATCTATTCTAATGCTGACTAACGCTGATGGGTAGTGCTAATGTAGGACACCAAAAAATTTCGATTTTCTTATCACATAATTAACGTACTTGTGGCTTGGGAGCTACGGGCGGCTGCGATCTCTGCGGCGACGGAGGACCGGGCGGATGCCATTCATATCTGCAACAGCAAAGCATTTATTAACTATTTCGGACATGATGACACATAGTGAAATGCATACTTTGGATTATGAATTTTCTTCTTTATTTTTATTGTCCTTGTAGGCAGACGAGCATACGGCCCACCTGATGGTGAGTGGTTACCGTCACCCATGGATTTAAGTAATGCCAGGGGCAGAGCCAAGCCGCTAACTATCGTTGAGTACTCTCCACAAGCTTCGTTTCAAGAAGGACAAGTCATAGTATATAATTTAAAAATAAAGTTTATTTATAGCTGCAAATTTTCACTTTGTCTGTAGTATGGAATGGATACGTGTAAGTTTTTACATTTGATAATATCGTGTTCTGGTTAATCTTAACGCTTTGACTGCCATGTCAGTCACCGGTGCCTCATGTGACGCACTGAAGTAATTATATCGACGTCTGTTACGCCTAGGGCGCCACGTAGGGCACCGGTGACCTACATGACAGTCAAAAGATTAATTATTTAAATACAAACGTAAAGATTGAGTACCTCTGTGGCTGACCGTGCTGGCTGTAAGCGTGCTGCGGGGGGTGCGGGGGCTGCGGGGAAGGTTGCTGTTGGAACTGCAAAGATTGCGTCGAGCCCGGCGACAGTGGTGGTTGTCCTGTTAATTAAATACAAGGAAATTAGTAATTACATGGTACATTTTTAGTGCAGTCATGTAATACGGCCGTTCCATTGAAATTAGTTAGTGATATTTTAAATTACATTATATAAAAATAAATAATATATTTAAGGTCAAGATTGCGACGGTATTTTTTAATAGCCGTAATATCGACAATAATTTTTATAAACCAATTCAATGTAAATAAAGATTTGAAATTAAGATTTTGTAACACGTGGCAATTGGGTAATTGTCGTGTTCTGATCGATTCTAGCACAACGGCGCCCGAATGAGACGTTAATTTTTTTAACTATATTCAACATTTACACACTGTAAATTATAAAATAAAATTAAAGTTTAAAAAATTTCCGAATATTATTTTATAGCACGTGAATTACGAGGTGAATGCCGAGGTATTCCATTACACGCATCTGCCGCTACTGGCGCTACCAATGGCGCATCAGGTATTGAGCTAATCAATCCACTTCAGTGTTCACATTTGTAGTTGAGCTACTCATTAGAACGGCCCGCAGATATCACGTGAATACCGCCATTCCACTTGAGACACGAGGTCACTCACAATTGTACAATGACTATCGAATAAGCAAGACTATCGTATGTTGTGTGCTCATATCAGCTACGAAATATGTGTATATCGCTCGAAACCCTACCATTTTTTTTTATTGCTTAGATGGGTAAACGAGCTCACAGCCCACCTGGTGTTAAGTGGTTACTGGAGCCCATAGACATCCACAACGTAAATGCGCCACCCACCTTGAGATACAAGTTCTAAGATCTCAAGTATAGTAACGACGGATGCCCCACCCTTCAAACCGAAACGCATTACTGCTTCACGGCAGAAATAGGCAGGGTGGTGGTACCCACCCGCGCGGACTCATAAGAGGTCCTACCACCAGTACCATAAAAACACATTTCACTAACCGTGAGAATGAAGGTTGTTCATCTGCGGATGATGATGTGGTAATGATGGCATCCTCTGTTGCATTTGATGTTGATGTAGTTGCTGCTGATGTAAATGTTGTTGTTGTTGCTGATGCAGCTGCGATTGTTGTTGTTGAATATGCTGTTGTAATTGTTGTTGTTGGATAAGTTGTTGCTGCTGAATATGTTGCTGTTGTTGCTGCTGTTGGTGTATTTGTTGCTGTTGTTGCTGGTGTAGTTGTTGCTGCTGTTGCAGTTGATGTTGTTGTTGCATCTGTTGGCGACGCGTAACTTCCTCTGACATCTCAGCTAGCTTCGCTGCACGTATACTCATAGTGCTTCCATGGTTTGCCTATTGGAGATAAAAAGTACAACTTACTTACTCGTGTTTCCAGGAAAATTAATATGTACCAAGTGCCTTTTTACACACCTCAGCCACATACGTAACTTAGAATATATCCATTATTTTTAATATTAAAAGTCGAAATATAAAACAGTGCAATAACATGTCTAACATTATCAGCGGGTAGACAGCTTGGCTGTATCCCTAGCATTCTTAATGTTAGCCGTATATTCGTCTACTTACAAAGGCAATTGAACGTATGTAAATTTCTAAACTGATCATAGTTTGGTAATATAACTCGACCGACCTGGTGCAGGGGAGAATCAGGCGCCTGTTCTTGCGGGTTTGCTGCTGAAAAATGTGCCGACTGAGGACGGTTGCTGCCAGTGGAACTGCGTAGCGACGACCACCTGTTTTAGTAATTTATTTATTTATTTGGGAAACAAACAGTACAATACAAACATACTGGTGGTAGGTCCTCTCTGTGAGTCCGCACGGGTAGGTAACACCACCCTGCCTATTTCTGCCGTGAAGCAGGTAATGCGTTTCGGTTTGAAGGGTGGGGCGGCCGTGGTAACTATACTTGAGACCTTAGAACTTATATCTCAAGGTGGGTGGCGCATTTACGTTGTAGATGTTTATGGGCTCTAGTAACCACCTAACACCTGGTGGGCTGTGAGCTCGTCCACCCATCTAAGCAATAAATAAATGAAATATATTAAGAGAAAGTTTAAGTCGTCGTGGCCTAAAGGATAATGCAACGGTGTTTGAATCCCGCAGGCGGGCACCAATTTTTGTAATGAAATACGTACTTAACAAATGTTCACGACCGACTTCCACGGTGAAGGAATAACATCGCGTAATAAAAATCAAACCCGCAAAATTATAATTTGCGTAATTAGGTACTGCATAACCACTCCATCTAAGCTATAAAAAAAAGGACATAGATACCTGTCTTGTAGTGGGTACTGTTGCGAGCTGACGGCGGGCAGGTTCTGGTAGAAGCCGTCGTGGTGCGAGGTCGCGGACAGGTTGTGGCTGCTCCGCGACTTGTTGGGCCACACGCTCGGCGAGGCGCTCGGGACGCTCGGGCTCGTTACACTACTGTTCCATTGTAACACAGTTTCATAAACAAATTACGATACACACTTTACATTTTTTACTGGTGGTAGGGACCTCTTGCGAGTCCGCGCGGGTAGGTACCACCACCCTGCCTATTTCTGCCGTGAAGCAGTAATGCTTTTCAGTAAGACCTTAGAACTTATATCTCAAGGTGGGTGGCGGCATTTACGTAGATGTCTATGGGCTCCAGTAACCACTTAACATCAGGTGGGTTGTGAGCTCGTCCACCTATCTAAGCAATAAAACAAACAAAAAAACATATTTTAACCCAGTACATTAAATGTTATTGTAAAACTTAATAATATTACATCAGGTTACTTTATTTATTGAAAGAAATATATACAAATTATTAATGTTCAGTAGATTAGGAGGAATAGAGACTAGAATTAGAATAGGGACAAATCTGGGATGTCACAATACTTTTATTGAGTTGTTAGATTTAACTTTGTTGAACTGAAAATGACTTTTATTTACTGTCTAAGAATATCAAATAGTTTTATTTAGTCATCAAAGTTTTGTAACTCATTAAATATATTAATAAGTAAATTACTTAAAGTTACGTATGTACTTAACAACTAAATAGTGCCAGCCCTATCGAAAAACTCTATTATCCCTGTATACGTAACCTGATACACCCCAAAGTCAAGGTGAATTGGGTCAAGCTAGTTTTTTCAGTTTTTGTGTACAATTTGTAATAAACTATGTATAATAACGCATCGTATATAAAAATGTAAGCCTCCTGAACTATTTTTCAATTTTCTCAATTTTATTGGTATTACTCTAAGAAAAACCATAGAAAATTTGTGTTGGATTTGGAAAGGGTCCCGATTCCCCCCCAATCTACAGTTATTATCATTGTATAATGCATATTGAATGGAGTTATATCGTCCTTAAAAGCCCTGAATAATGTAAAAATGTTATCGATGTAAATCAAACTAAATAAATAAAATAGGGACTAATATTGTGTGGCGTACCTGTGCGGGACGGGTGCGGCGTGGTGCAGGGCGGGCGTGCTCTTGCTGGGCTTCACGGCCTCCGCCGCCAGCCGCGCGGGCAGGTCGCGCTCCGACGCACGACGCAACGCGCCGCCGCCCGCTGCGCAACCACACAACTACTATATTACCCAACTCGACAACAGCATCACCATATTCGACTAAGAATTACCAAGTCGGATCTCACTCGAGGTACCAGTAATTGGAACAACTGCGGATCCTATAGGATCGTAATATAGTACATTGTGCACCAAGGGAGAAAAGTTGGACATTTCCTCCCGCGTGTAAAATGCGGCAAACACGCGGCATGAGATGTCTTACTTTTTTCCCGCGGTGCACATACTATTTTTTCTCCTACCAGGCCGAAACTTATAAAGTCATGAAAAAAACAATTTTAATTTTTTAATTAACTACTACTAACTGAATAAGAACTGTTTCATGAACTCATCTTTGTACTTCACTATTAATTTTTATTGCCTTTTGTTTATTTCATTTTTACACTAAACACAATGTTGCAAATTACCCGAGCACAACAATGGCGGAGAATTTTAGGTGCGTGAGAGCAGACGTAGACACTAACACGCATGTACACTTTTCAGTACCCAGGGAGAAAAAATTAGACTTTCTTCCCTGTAAGCGGGACGAAAACCAAACTTTCGGCGTAGGTAGGAGAAAAATAAGCTTTCCAATAAAAATTCCAACCTGCATTGATTGTTATGGTAAATTATAGTATGTTTTTATTGTGCATTTTAATTAAAGCTCTCTAGATCTAAAATTCGGAGGTATCTGGAATTGGCAGAACGGTAAAGCCTAGAATAAATAAAAGAGGCTAAAACGCTGAACATAAAACCTGCAAACAATAGAATCGATAAAATTCGATAGTGACAACATAATGGACACATAACAACTATTGGTGTTTGAACGTATAATTTGCAGACTATAAAATTAAGTAGTGTAATTGAAAGTAAAAGTCATGCCTGATTGAATATAATAAACAATAGTGCGCTCGTCTATAACACACCTATTATCATGCGGGGGGAGAAGCCTTACGCGTTGTGGGGGTCGAGTTCAGATCCGGGCAGCTCCGCACTAGCGCCGCGTGTTGCTTCGTTTTTTGCAGTATTCGTTTGATATTACTGATATTAGTAGACCCTATAAAGTTTTTTCCTTTTGTTTTCTCGGAGCTTTCGCTTCGTGCAAGCGACTCACAACTCGACTTGTCTCGTTCAGAGTTCAAACTTGATTGATTCGATTTTATTTTGATATTTTCGAGGGTGATTCTTTTTGGTTTGCGGTCGAAGAATTCATTGAAAACGAAGCCGTTCGTGCAGTCTATTTGGTCTTCCGATGGTAAATTCGGCAACTCGAATTCGTTGCCGTTAGCGAGTGTATCCTCGCTGCCACGCGAACCATATCTGGACCAGTCTTCCAATTGGATAATTATACTTTTCACTTCTTCGTCAGTCAGTTTTCCATCTCCAGATTCAGTAGTTTCTGTTTTGTCAATGTCGAATCTAATGTCGACCAGACTTGCGCTAGTGGGCAGCGGTTCTGCAATTTTCAGTACTTTTTCAGGGCGTCCGCTGAGATTAGGGCTCGACTGACAGTGACGCTTGTAAGTTTTCACGCTATATGTTAGATTTATATCGTTAAAGTGCTTCGTCAGCGCTTTCACTTTACCGAAAGACGGTCTGAATTCATCTGGTGACTTCCAGGACTTTCTGTCGACGCTGTCCAGAATTTTTTTGGCACATGCTTCCGCTGGACTCTGGATTAAGATATCAGGTTTATTTTCATTTATAGTATCATCCATTGAATCTGAAGTGGAAAACGTCGACGGTAACATATCTGAGAATTCCTCCGATTTATTCGAAAAGGAATTCGACACTGAAAAAAGGGTCCTTTTCAAACGACAGTTCATGTCTTGAATTTTCTGCGATTCACTGTGTACGTCTAGATCAATCTTGAGTTTCAGTGGTATGACCACTGGCATTTCCGGATCTACTTTTATCGGCGAGGAAGGAGTCTGACAGACCGCGTCAGCCGTCTCAGGTTTATCTTCGCCGTTGTCCAAGGACATGGACGGTAAAATTCGTCGTATTTTCGGAGTGGTAATTTTATCAGGAACTGTTCCGTTTTCAAATATAACGGGTTCCGAGTTCGGTTCGTCTATAAACGGAATTGACTTGGTCTCCGGTTGCGGAGTGCGACAGCAGTCACAAGCGCTAACGCATTCATCGAGCTCCGTGCACCTTCGTCTGTAGGTGTCGTTCTCGTTCGAGCGCACGTTAAACAAATCGAGTGTGAGCTTCGTGTCTATTGGCTTCATCTGCGGCGTTAGACAGACCGGTTCTCCACTCTCGCTGGACTGCTCGTAATGCACAGGTGGGTCAGGTACGGGAGGGGGTTGTTCATCCATTGAGTGCTGGTCGTTGCAACTGTTTTGTTCGTCGAAATCCTCACACGTAAACGTGAAAACGGGAATGGGTCTGGGCGGCGGATTAGATTTAAATTCGACAGGGCAATCGCTCATAAACGGGCATAAGTTTACGTCATGTTCGTTCTCCATGTCAGAAGTTACAATGAGCTTGGGTATCGAGCCACGATAGAGAGGGCGAAAGTCCTCGCTGTCGTCTGTACTGGACTCCGTAGACTCGTCTTTCAACAGGTAGCAGCGGTCGCGGCAGGACCGCCGACAGTAACCTGTAATACGACATCATTATCGACTGCGACTCGCACGCGCTCTCGGACGCGTAAGAAGAAGCCAAAATTTGCAACCAAAAAGAACCTAGTATAAAACAAAAACACAGAAGACATAAACAAAACTACATAAACTATAACAAAACAAAACCAAAACTAAAAAGCAAACAATATAAAATCGAAAGGGGAGCGAGTCGCGGTCATCAAGGAAACATAGTTCTTGAACGTTGTTGAGAGGAGTGGGCCGTGCAGGTATAAGCCCCGCACGTTGATATTGCGATAGAACCATGTTACGATAATAGGTGCGTGACGTCATCCCCCGCAAAAAGTACAGTTAACAAAAATATTTATTTGTTAGTATCGAACGAAGTTGACCTACCGGGTAGGTAAATTATATATATGTACCTATATATAATTTTTGTAAATATCTAAGTATAAAGATATATAAGAAAGTTTATAGGTATTTATACTATTTATACTATATATTTATAGGTATTTAATAATTTCATAAATATTTCCTATAAAATTGCCTATAATAAGTACTAATATTATAAATGTGAAAGAAGTCTTGTCTGTTTGATATATATTTTCTTTTATAAGCCTCTCAAACAATTTTAATGGACAAATAATAAAAAAGTTTATTAATACAATTAATCAATGTTTATTCATTTAATAATTCCTCAATTCCGCTCACATTATCATCAGAATCAGTTTCGTATAACATAATACGCGTACGCGCTGGCCAACGTTGCGAACGGTACTGACAGTTCGACTACGTCACCAAGATGGCCGCCAAATCGCAACATCAACGTGCGGGGCTTATATGTGTAATGCGTTTGCCTGCGGTGGCGAGCTCGGTGAGCGGCGAGGCGGGCTTGAGTAGCGCGGGGTGCGGGTTGGTGAACGTGCCCGAGTTGCGGCGGGCGCGACACTCGTACTGCACCTCCGCGTCCTCTGTCGGACCACACACACGTTACCGCACGCGACCGACACGCGCCCCCAGCACTGACTTATGTAAACGAACTTCATGTTACAGCGAAACCGATTTGTTGAGGCTAATGATCAGATATGGGTCATTGGTTGAATGCTGCGTGTGTGAATTTTATGTTTGAAAATATTAATAAACTTAATAAATACTCGTATATATTAATATTGGGTTAAGTCGCAACACATGCGTTTGTAATATTAGTAGTTTTATATTACGTCAGTCCGCAATTCGCTTCACATTACAGTTTACAACCATTACAACACTTGAAGCCGTGCTCATCAGCCGTCATCTGATTTAAGTTTGATGTTCATTAATATACATATCATTAGTTCAACACTATATTTTTTCTTTAAATTACCCTTGTTATTTATCAAAATACAATAATTAAATTGTGAAATAAATAATGTAAAAAACGAATACAATAATATAACACCAAAACCTAATATTGGTCTAATTTTTGATAACCTCCTTTAATTTCTTTTTAACTGTGACAGAAGCCATCAGAAGCTGTCCGGCTTTGTTTTCGATATCGATTTCCTTATACATGTAACGATTAATAATAATAAAAAACAGTATTAGAAAATACACTTCTCATAATATAAAATGTAAAGACATATGCTGTCAGCTAAAAACGGGTTCGTCACCCATCCATTAAAAATATCGATAGAATTGGCAATAGGGTGGCAACGTGATTATCGCGAATAGATTTCTCGTTAAGTATGTGGGATGTAGAGATAATAAAACACGTTTAGCGTATTCACACCGCTGGACCAAGAACGCAAAACTTCCAATTTACATCTCTATTAGTTGATTTATTTTAATAGTGCGATTATTTTAATCGAATTATATTCGTTAAATGGCGTACCTGGTCGCTGATTGTTGTAGGCCGGTTGGTGTAATAGAGTGGCTAGTCCGTGCAACATAGCTCCTTGTTTCGCGACTTCTAAAGTGACGGTCGGACCCGTCCTTACTAAGTATTCAGCCGCCTATAGAAAACAAATTAACCGAAAATATTTAATCGAATTATAAATTTATTAAAACAATTTATTTTAATAGAAAATAAAATTTGTTTTACCTTTTCCTGTGTGATACCAACGAGCGACTGTCCATCAACGGATAGCAGTTGGTCGCCGGCCGCCAGTCGCCCGTCTGCAGCCGCCGCGCCGCCCGGCACTACGGACTTTATATAGATACCCAATTTGCTTTGGCCTGCACCCTGAAAATATTACAAGATCTTTAAATACTTCGCAATCGTTGTATTTTAACTTATATATAAAGTCTACAAAAGGTTTCCCAAGTAAAAAGAAAAGAGCAACACTTCGGCTAATTATAAAGAATCTAATATTTAATGAGAATTTAGAATATTGTCTATAGGTGAAGTGAAAGCAAAGAAGCTTTGAGGCAACGATTCGATAATTAAAAATTTGACGAGAATTGGGAGTAAAATATAAATATGTGTCAGATTTTTGTCAATAGATATGAAAGATATAAAGTACGAGAAAGAGCGAACTATTTCGATGCTACGTTAATAAAGCAAGAGAAAAAGAGACGTATACATAACGATATAAGCAGAGTTTCCTCGTAGAGAATAGCAAAGACATCAAACAAGACAAACCTGAGACAATCTGAATATACAATAATTTGGCTAACCCATCTTTGATACCGGAAGGTAAACATCATTTAAACCGTTTTAATGAGATGTGTGGTTTTTTTTTCTCTCGTCCATAAAGACTACCATTAGAGCCATAAAGTTTTATCAAACTTGTTATTGGTATTGTTATTTATATTAGACTGCATATTATGATTTTAATGTTTAGAGTTGAAAATGCGAAAAAAGTACCTTTGCGGCGACTATACTGAGTCCCATGCCGTTAGCGTTCTTATGTAGTTGCAGGATATGTCGGTCGGGGACGGGCGGGGGTCGCGGGGACGCTCGGCCCATGTACACGGTCCACGCGCCGACCGCGTGCGGCTGGTGGGCGAGCCGACACAGCCCCGCCCGCTGCAGGGGGGCCACGAACTCCGCCAGCCCGGGGGGCACGCCGCGGACCACCTCCGCGCTGAACCCATCCCCGGGGATCAGCAGTCCGGCCCCCAGCCAACCGCCCTCCTCGACTCGTATCTGCAAAATCCGACATGTATTAAATCACCATAACTATTTCTGCCGTGCAGCAGTAATGCGTTACGGTTTGGGGGGAGGAGGAGGAGGAGGAGGAGGAGGCAGCCGTTGTGACTATATTGAGACCTTAGAAATGCTATCTCAAGGTGGGTGGCGACATTTACGTGGTAGATGTTTGAACTGAATTATTAATTTAACAAATCTCGTAATATTTTAAGGGTACGTGGAAAATCAAATCCCTATTAGGGCCCTAAGTCACCAAGAGGCCATGGCGACGTCGCCCGCTATGTAGGCAATCACTATTAAGCTACCTTTGGTTGCCAAATGGAGTGGCCAATGGCGAACATCTGTCAGTTCAGATCTCCCGCGTATTGAGGATGGACGCTTCGTGCTTAGAAGAAATCGCACTTATTTATTATGTGCGTCGCCGAAAACTTAATAAGAAGAAACCTAAGAAACTATGGATCCATTCTTTTATATCAGATTGGAGCTGAAATGGTGTATGAAGATTTAAGAAAATATCCTTCTAAGTTTTTTTAACTACGCGAGAATGTCAGTATCATCTTTTGATGAATTATTGAGTTCATGTAGAAATGAACTGACAAAACATCTTCTCATCTCGTCTTTTTCTTTGAATAAATTTACTATTTCGCTCCAACATTTTATTTTTAAATTACGATCGGAATAACCTTGTATTGAGGAACCCTATAAACATAGTCGATTTTGAATTTCTATGATAAATCATTCTTTTAGTTAACTGCCATACATTGTAATATGAATTGTTTGACGTTTGATTTTGAAGACCTTTAAGTCATGTCTTATTATATTCATATATTCTTATTTTTAGGAAAAATGATAATATTGAGTGAAATGAAATGAAGATGGTTAATTTGAGACTGGGATGAAATTAAATGAAATGAGATGAGATGATATGGTATGAAATATAATCTCATTAAAATAGTGGTCATTTACTGAGACTTTTTCAGTGGACTTTTTGGAGGATCCCGAGAAGTTACGTTCAACGGCTTTGTTTCATTTTCCCACATTTGTGCACTTTCACAGAGATACTAAACAGTTAATAAACCACCGTTATTACACATTTAAACCTGAAGAAACACAAAATAGACAAAATAAAACAAATCACACAACTTCACTACTCGCGTTCCCGCCAAAAAGTCCTCCTACAAGACAGTAACTCTAAAAGTATAGTACATTTAAAATAATATTTGTTTCTGGTAATAGCATTCATAGATTATACACTCTATATTTGAGAATAACATGCCCAAATCAGCAAAACCGGATAATTCTCAGCAATATTTTAATCTAAATTGGGAATGTGAGTAACCTCTCGTCCGTCGGCCCGGCACAGCTCGTCGGCGAGCGCCCGCGCGTGCTGCACGGCCGCCTCCACGACCTCGGGCGCGGCGATGGGCGCGAGCAGCGCTCGGACTTGCGCAGAGTTCAGCTTGAAGCACGCCGACAGCGCCGCCCGCACTTCCTCTGCGGTGCGATACTCGCCCTGTATCAGCCGGGCTGCCAAACGAAACCTCTGGTTATTGCACCCACCCTCTAGTTTGACATCGAAATAAAGTACGCGTTGTTTCCTTAATGGGAATGACTTTTAATACAAAGCTTTCGTCTCAAATTTTTTAAATTATAATATATGCCGGGTTAATTAAATAATGGTAATTGGGTAATAAGTAGACTGACGTGTGTCATGTTTATTAAAAATAAAATATTCAGTAAATAACAATTCTTACCGTACACGTTTTGAGACTAAATAATAAATCGGTTAATAAAGTATCGTGATATAAGGGTTTAACATGTTGAGTGTCTTGTAGGTCACCGGTGCCCTACGTGGCGCACTTTCTGTTACTATAGCACCGGACTGGAAAACACGATTCCGAAGATACTAAGAATTAATCTATTTCTAAGAGATCTAAGACTAAAACATAAAACGTACATTAAAAACAAAAGAAGGCAAAGATAATGCCTAACAGAAATCAATATAATTATTTCAGTGCGCCACGTAGGACATCGGTGACCTACACGGCGATCAAGGGGTTAAAGAAGAGATAAGGTTAGAGATTTCACGCAAAGTTAATTATGGTATAGGATTAATAAGTAGTTTATGTATATTTTACACAAGCCCTGTGTAGCGTGGAGGTGAGTATTGTATTTTTTTTCTACCTATGCTGCTTTTTTTTTTATTGCTTAGATGGGTGGACGAGCTCACAGCCCACCTAGTGTTAAGTGGTTACTGGAGCCCATAGACATCCACAACGTAAATGCGCCACCCACCTTGAGATATAAGTTCTAAGGTCTCAGTATAGTTACAACGGCTACCCCACCCTTCAAACCCAAACGCATTACTGCTTCACGGCAGAAATAGGCAGGGCGGTGGTACCCACCCCCGCGGACTCACAAGAGGTCCTACCACCAGTAATTACGCAAATTATAATTTTGCGGGTTTCATTTTTATTACACGATGTTATTCCTTCACCGTGGAAGTCAATCGTGAACATTTGTTGAGTACGTATTTCATTAGAAATAATTGGTACCCGCCTGAGATTCGAACATCGGTGCATCGCTCAACACGAATGCACCGGACGTCTTACCCGTTAGGCCACGACGACTTGATAGCCTTGAGAGGCTATTTCAGCTTCTCCCTAACGCGCAGGTGAGCTCACGGGGCTCAAATCGGAGTGTTACTAATACTGGCCTTAGCAAGAGCAGTGCTTCGCAGAATCTACCATCGAAACCGAAACGCGACCCACTGAGAAGATTCGGAGAGAAGCTCAATGGGCTAAGAGTATTGTATACAGACCGGCCTGGTGCGTCCGCGCCAGATGGCAGTCGGCTGCTAGCTCGAGTCCCTGCCGCTCGGCCCATGCCGCCACTAGCGCCAACCGCCCCGACAGCGCGCGCCCGTAGGCCGCGCTCACACAGCCCGGCTCGCTCACCACCTGGGCCGATAAATACAACTATTATATCTTATTTACAATTCTTGATATTTCTAATTATTTTTTTATTGCTTAGATGGGTGGACGAGCTCACAGCCCACCTGGTGTTAAGTGGTTACTAGAGCCCATAAATATCTTTTGGGACATTTTTATCTTATTAGGAAAGGCAAGGGGATCTAAGCCNGCGCTCACACAGCCCGGCTCGCTCACCACCTGGGCCGATAAATACAACTATTATATCTTATTTACAATTCTTGATATTTCTAATTATTTTTTTATTGCTTAGATGGGTGGACGAGCTCACAGCCCACCTGGTGTTAAGTGGTTACTAGAGCCCATAAATATCTTTTGGGACATTTTTATCTTATTAGGAAAGGCAAGGGGATCTAAGCCAATACAGCCTTGTCTCTTCTATATAATTTCTGAAATAAATTTTCAAAAAGGCCGAAGCCAGGTCTTTTGTGGCCCATAGACATCTACGACGTAAATGAGCCACCCATCTTGAGATATAAGTTCTAAGGTCTCAGCATAGTTAAAACGGCTGCCCCACCCTACAAACCGAAATACATTACTGCTTCACGGCAGAAATAGGCGGAGTGGTGGTACCTACCCGCGCGGACTCACAAGAGGTCCTACCACCAGTAAATTACAAACTCGCAATTTTAATATAAAAACTAGTCAACCTAAAAATGTTTTTATGTCAACAAAAAAAATTTAAGGCAATACAGGGGAAAGGTAAAATAAATACAAGATCACATTTACCTTGTTGAAACAAACGGCGTTGATGTAGTGGAAGAGATGCGAGAAGAGCTGTATGGTGAGCGCCGCGTTGACCCTGCACCGGCGCAGCAGCACCATGGCGGCGGCGAGCGCCTGCAGCGCGGGCTCGGTGGCGGCCGTCGCCTCCGCGCTGTTGCCGCTCGTCAGGGCCGCCAGGGCGCGACCCAGGCTCTCCTCGAAGCACGCCACCAGATTACTGCGCGTGAATAACAACAATCTATATATTGATACGTGACGCAAAAACTTTGTTACGAAAATTACGCGGACGGAGCAATATGTAATTAATTTCCTTCACTTATAGAGAATATAAAGGAGTGCAGAATACTAATATTTTAAAGAAATATGGGTAAAAAATTTTTTAAATCAATAAAAAAAACATTACCACTCTAGGTACCATGTGTTTGAAACGCAAACGCATATAATATACTCTTTAGTTTATTGTTAAGTTTTTTTTTCTTTTATTGCTTAGATGGGTGGATGAGCTCACAGCCCACCTGATGTTAAGTGGTTACTGGAGTCCATAGACATCTACAACGTAAATGCGCCGCGCACTTTGAGATATAAGTTCTCAGGTCTCAAGTACAGTTAGTTACAAGTTAAAGTATGTTGTCAAATTGAGAATAGATTAATATTGTTTGTCATTAATATTATTTGTTTATAGTGGAGCCTTGGCGAATTCTGTGATAATAGAAGTAAAGTCTTTGATAATAAAACAATAAGAATATTCAAACTTATTATTTAAATTAATAATTGTGGTCGAATTTTAACTATTAGGCGACCACTACTTAGTCTGGCCATAAATACTGTCACTATTAAAAATAAAAATAAATCTATTGCAAATAACATTTATTACTTTTACAGTGTGTTAGTTTAATACATAAATATAAAACAATTTAAAGCATAAAAAGCTTATTCGAAGTGGTCTCCATTGGCTGCAATACAGTCCTTTAAATGCTGAGGCCAGTTATCAATAGAAGCACACACTCTTTCCATGGGAAAATTTTTCATTGCCAATCGTACGGATTGTTTTAGGGACTCCAAATTATCATGGCGTTTAGAGCAAGCCGTACTCTCTAAAACTGACCATAAATCATAATCCAGCGGATTAAGATCCACCCATTTCTATAATATTCCGTCAACCGCTCTTTAAATTTATATATAATGCAATTTCTTTTTTTTTATTGCTTACATGGGTGGACGAGCTCACAGCCCACCTGGTGTTAAGTGGTTATTGGAGCTCATAGACATCTACAACGTAGACGCACCACCCACCTTGACATACAAGTTCTAAAGTCTCAAACGCATTACTGCTTCACAGCAGAAATGGGTAGGGCGGTGGTACCTACCCGTGCGGACTCACAAGAGATCCTGCTACCAGTAAGTTTACATACATATTTCAAGAATGCCCTTTTTACATAATAATAGTCAGCTGATCTTACATTTCGTTCCGTATCATTAGAGTTAACCGGTCAAACGAATGTTTTAAGGTCTTCATGCATCTTCATCCACAGGCTTTTAGGGTTACATTTGAAGAGATCAGCATTGGGTGGATACAGGTTGAAAAAGAGAGGTCAAACGAACTAACCTGAACGCGTTTTGTACAGTCATGGCTAGTAACTCTTGAGCTTGCGTTGAGAACGAGGAGATATGTCTGTCGTATTTGAGGAAGTGCAGTAGTTCACTGGCGTTGGCCATCCAGAACGCCTGAGCTGCAGAGTCACTAGCGCGTTCCTGGAAAGGGAAAAATACATTTACGATTTTTTTTTTATTGCCCTTGCAGGCAGACGAGCATACGGCCTACCTGATGGAGAGCGGTTACCGTCGCCCATTAACTTTAGGAATACCAGGGGAGACCCAAACAGTTGGCTACCTTTGAAATTGTATTAAATTGTAAACAGGTTACGATTTAATTTGACTCATTTGGTGGTGCTGCTATTAGTACCCCTTATTGCTGAGGGTCATAAATTCGATTCCCATATCGAACAATCATTCGTGTAAGGAACAGGTTAATTTGCTTTTTGTCCGAGTGTTTATTAACCACATAATATATATTTAGGATCGTTTTTAAGTCTCTGGTTTTCATAGTACAGTAGTACAGGGAGTCCCAGTATGGCGTCTAGTGCCTCTGTGACTTGATCCCGATTATTATTATTATTAATATACATGTAGATATACCCATTTTACATTTATTTTTATTTATATAACATAAATTCTTTTCATGTCCGACTAACAAATACATGAAAATATATGTATGTAGGTTTATATTGAAGTCGAAAAAAAATCTTAGGTTACAATAATACCATTGTCTGATGAAATAATTTGTATGGTTTGATTGTGATCGATATTGAGTATTGAATTTTCAAAATTAAATTCTACTCCAATATTAAATTTGTTAAACATAATTATATAAATATACGCTTAAATAGCAAACCGAATTAAGAATTAATTTCATGTTTATTTTTCCTATCGAAACTGGAGAGAGTATTAGAGCAAAGTTATAAAATTATTGTATTGTCATCAGTACTTGATGCGTGTGAATATTTTCAAATTAATCAGATACCATGAAATCCATGAAAATGGATGTTCAAATATTCAGTTACATACCAACCTAATAAAGGCGTGTTTGCTTCTTCCGAATATGTTTATGTAGGTAATATGTTACCTGTACAGTAGCGTGTATGAGCGTGGCGACGTGGTGGAGGAAGGCGGTCAGCTTGTGGGCCCTCTCGGTCGGCGTCAGCTCGGGCCGGTAATGAGTTGAAGCACGATACCTGGCAGAGCACAAAGACACAAACTGAAGGTTTTAACAATAGAATATTTTTGTATTTTTGTTTTTATGAGTAGTGTAGTAAAGCACGTCAGATCGTGACAAAGAAAACTCAAGAAAATTTTGTATCATTTGTGGTCAAATCAGGATATAAAAATGAAAATAAGCTTTTTGCTTTTACAGTCAAATTACGTGTTAACTTTTTGTTTTTATTATTCCCGATTATGAGTTATTAATCAAGAACTAACACTATCAGTATTCAGACCAGTATTAGGTGTGAAACGAAACGAAAGCGTTATAAAATGAATTTGTTATAGAAAAATAGAGGATAGTTAGCAAAATGTATGAGTGTCGACGAATAACACATTCGTCGTCCGTGAGTACAGAAACTGTACAGTAATCGAAATATTGCTAACACGAACCCCAGTAAGAGCCGTGCTTCGCAGAATCTACCACCGGATAGGTATTCGTGTAGTGTGGTGTTCGTACCTGGCGCAGAGGTAGAGCGTGTAGACAGGCGCGAGTTTGAACGCGGGGGCATGAGGGTCGAGCCTGGTGATGACCGCGGCGAGGAACTGTTGTTGTCCCGCCTCCGGGAACTCCAGCACGGCCGGCAGGATCGCTTCTTGGCCGATTCGACCAGCACCCATCCTGCACATCGCGCTAACATTACACTACAAAATCTCAATATCTGCGATAATTTCTTGGCATTTCATTAAAAAGATCAATTCAAAATAGACTAAAAAAAACTAAAGCTGTGTATTTAGGTGAGATGTTATTTGATGTGAACGTAGTTTTACCTGTTCTCGTGTCCTGAACCTCCGCTTTTAGCGCTACAGATGCTTTTCGTTTCAACGTTTCCATCTAAATCGAACGTGGTTTCGTAGTTATCTTTGTATTGCGAGTTCCCGGTGCGGTTCGCGTTTGTGCTCTGATCGTGATCGTTGTAAATCGATCCGGTGTGATCGTCCTTCGAGTCGGTGAGGTGCTGCGACATCATCAGCGACTCGTTGTCGAGTTTGAGCGTGTTGTTGTTGTTGTACGGCGTGATCTCGTTCGAGTCTCTGTAGTAGTGGTCGTTCGAGACCGGGCTGACGGTGCGGTGGTACTCGTCGTTGGCGTTGTTGTCGAGCGCGTCCGGTTGCTGGGACATCGCGCCGCCCGGCTCCGGTGACGCGGGCGACCTAATGTAGGGGGAAACGTACACAAGCGATGTCGTGAGCCAGTGACAGAGAAACATGCAAAAGAAAACGGTAAAATGAACAACATAAAACGGTGATTAGAGAAGCGACCGGCTCCAGTGTGGACATGGTTATGTTCGACAAAACATAGAGATCTAGTAATAAAACATTGCAGGTGTGGGTAGGTAGGTACGTACAAATGAGACTTCAGAAGGTGAACGAGTCTCTGAAACTAACTAAGTTCAACAAAGGGTATTATAATAACTAATCACAACACGTAAGAAACAAGCTGTATTGGGATGCGCGGAGTCTTACCTGTCGTATATGGATCCGGAGCCGTAGTTTGACTGCGACTGAGCCAAGTTCCTGTTGATTAGGTTCTCCTGGGCGGGGTCCACGAAACGGAACGTCGATACGCGCCCGAATTTCAGCAGACATCCGTGCTGCGACATACATTAAAAAAACGTAATAAAAATGAACACCGCAAAATTATAATTTGCGTAATTACCGATGGTAGGACATCTTGTGAGTCCGCACGGGTGGGTTGCACCACCCTGCCTATTTCTGCCGTGAAGCAGTAATGCGTTTCGGTTTGAAGGGTGGGGCAGCCGTTGTAACTATACTGAGATCTTAGGACTTATATCTCAAGGTGGGTGGCGCATTTACGTTGTAGATGTCCATGGGCTCGAGTAACCACTTAACACCAGGTGGGCTGTGAGCTCGTCCACCCATCTAAGCAATAAAAAAAAAATCAAATTTCTTTTCAATTACATAATATGTACATCCTAAAAAACGTAACGCAGAGCCATAGCATTACAACAGAACGTTTAAGCATCTGTTCTGATCTCCCACGTATTTTAACTTAATACGCACTTTAGACTGGCAATTAAACATCAGCGATCGACTTGATCAAAATTACAGTCCACCGCCTGTCGTAAATTCTGAAAATAACGTCCGATACAATTACTCTGAGTCAGAGTTCTAACGACATTTCATTGGGGAAAGGAAACGTTGTTCCTGTGATTACGTAACAACATTAAAGTCTGCGATTACTTTCAAATTAGAACGCCATAAAAATATGCATGTATGTTAATTTTTAAATAGCGTTTTATGGAGAGGTGCAAAGGCTATCGGGTTTAGGCGACTTTTTTACATTTAATGTTAAAATTTTGGAAAAAAATTTCAAAAAAACTTCTTCGGTTATTTGAACGGAGTAAACTTAATTGAAGTCGTAGTAAAGTAAAACATCGAACTGTTGATGGTAATCTATACATACAAATAAAATTGGAGTGTCTGTTTGTAATATTGAAATAGCCTCTTTTTAGTACATGCATATAAATATATATACGGTACATACACCAAAATAACATTTTTTACAATTTTTATCTGTCTGTCTGTCTATCTGTGTGTTTGTTCCGGCTAATCGCTGGAACGGCTGGACCGATTTTGACGGGACTTACACTGACAGGTAGCTGATGATATAAGGAGTAACTTAAGCTACTTTTTTTAGACTAGCTTCGCCCCGCGGCTTCAGCCGTGGTACGACAATAAGCGCGGGTAACATCCCCGCGATGTTCAGCTCAGCTATCAATAATAAAATTTTATGTTTCCGAAGCGAAGCGAGGGCGGGTCGCTAGTACCAAATAAGACGGACCTTTAATTACAAAGATAAATATCGCGTATTAAGTGAAATGTCGCTTAAATCGAATAGCCTTTCAGCCCTCGATATAACAGCTGTACAAAGTTAAACTAGGTAACCCACAAACCGGTAACCTGTTTTAGAAATTTGGCAATTACACACATTCAAGTACGTAAATATATGAATAATTCTGACGTTAAGTTATTCGTCGTGTTGTGGATCGCAGTGACGGACTGTATTCCGTCAAGCGGAAAATGTTTTTCATCGTTGAATTGATAAGAAACAGGCCCACAGTTAGACGGTATTTTAACGAGTATGTATAATGAAAGTTGATGTATTTTACTGGGTCAGCATTAACGTTTACAGACTTTTCTAGATAGGATAAAATTTTGTTGTAAAGTAATAACTAGTTTTGTTTTTTATTTCCAAAAGTAGTGATTCTGAAATAAACCTTTTCAGATTCAATTCAGATAATAAATTACAAATATAATGGTATTAATTTACGCAAACCTTTTCTAATTTAGAATTTTCACCAATGTAGTAAACTATAGGTACCTTTCGTTATTTCAATATTTGCTTTATGCTAACTACTGCTAACAGTAGTACAAAAATAAAATTTACAATTTTCTATAGTGCTTTTTAAAATTCAAATTACGTTTAACAAATCTACGATGTTTCATTTTTATTTATCGCATAATCCGGGTCATTATAGCCCGGGTCCCGACCTCACGGGCCATCTGGTGTTAAGTAATTACCGGATTTCATAGACATAACAAAATGAATTGCCACCATTCACCTAGAAACAAGTTGTAATTCTCAATTATAACGACCGCCCCACCCCTTAAACCGGAATGTAGTTACTGCTTTGCGGCAGAAATACCCGCGCAGATCACATGACGCCCTACCTACCACCAGAATCAAAGATTCATACCTTTTAATACATGTATGCAACAAATGTGTTACTGAGTTGTAATCTTACATATTTAAGCCAATAAACCTCGACTTCTCCCCTGCGTCTTCTTTTATGCTACCATTTTCTTGTCTTTTTTTTTTATTTCGTAGATGCGTGGACAAGCTTACAGCCCACGGTAGGTGGTTACTGGAGTCCATAGACTTACAACGTAAATGCGCCACCCACCTTGATATGTTCTAAGGTCTCAGTATAGTTACAACGGCTGCCCCGCTCTTCAAACCGAAACGCATTACTGCTTCACGGCAGAAACAGGCAGGGTGGTGGTTCCTACCCGTGCGGATTCACAAGAGGTCCCACCAAGAGGTCTTGTGAGCACGCATATATTTTAGCTGCTTTTATAGGTGTAATAACTCAAGTCGCCTGGTCATTTTTACCGGAATATATACAACGAAACCGAAAATTATTTTTATTAGTATTGTCATAACAGTTATCTCTTTAAACAGAAACATGACTGGTTCGCAGCACAAGTACCTACGTACATACGTCGGGTTGGACAGACTCATGCGAGCTAACAAAATCAGCCAATATGTAAGAACGCAAATTGAAAAGATTTTTGCTTTTATTTTATTACACAATGACGTTGCTTTGTTTGTTTTTCATGAACACATACTGGTCTCGTAATTAATAAGAGTAGAATTGGTACGGATCCAAGGATAGAATCACGACCTAAGCGCATGACTATGAATACATCGTCCGTCTTAAATAACAAGCCACGGACGTTTCGATCCAGCCCGTTACCGCGTACCGCACCGATCGTTCTGTAGCTGGTGATTCGAAACCACACAAGCCACAAAATTCAATTGCTGAAAACACAGTTTCACACAGATGTTCAAAACTAGGCGCCCTGTATGCTTAATAACAATACGTATTTACCACTACTATAAAAGGAGAGGTAAATAAACCTTTTTAGTGCTCGTTAATATTTTAATTCAGCCGTTAAAACTCTAGTGCTTTTATAGTTCGAGACGAGATGTTTCGCAAGAGTTAAATGGATCGTTGCGGGCATCAAACGCAAAGCGTTTACGTTCGTACAGGAATTTAGTTTAGTTTTTTTTTTTACAAGGGTGAACGAGTGTGCAGCCCATTTGCTGTTTAGTGGTTTACGGACGCCATACATGCGAACAACGTAAAAACCGCCATCCACCTTAACACAAACTTAGCAACAGAAATAGGCACGGTGGTGGTACACGCACGATTTCATGCGGGTTTCCCTACTACCAGTGGACCATTACTATTCTGCTCTTCAATGTATTATTGTAACATCAAAAAGACATACAGTTCAAGCTTCGTCGAAAGCTTCAGAAAGAATTACCCAATTTCGGGACTTTCGAACAGGCTCGGGGACGGAAACAAATAGGCTTTCACATTGGATAAAAAGGTAACAAGCCAATTTTCTCAAAGTAAACGTGTTCCGAATATTTGCGAAGCGTTCAACGTTTTTGGTTTTTTTTTTCTAACTTATTCATTTTAAAATACTTATGGTGTGGCAACATCAAACATCAATCACCGCTCGGCTTTGAAATTAGAATAACGCTCTCAATTGGCAGTAACAATGTTAATGGTACAGATGTAAAATGCACGTGTGCGAAGAGCTGGGTAGCTGATAAATATTCATATTCTATTGTGAAATGATTTTTTTTTAGTAAATTTGATTGCCTTAATAGAACGTACCTACCAAACATACTTAAATAAAAAAGAATGTTAAATAAGGTCAAATACCAAGAATACCTCACCAACGAAGCATTAAGTTTAAATGGTTAGCTTTTTCATACTTCGTATTCAACTTGTTTATGTACATAGGTACATAACGTGTATTACGTAAGTACGAAACATACATATGTACATACATATATAAGCGTACATAATGTTTCGGCCAAGACGAGACTTCGTTGTTTATCACGGCTTTACATTAAGCTTTATTATTATATGAGGGCTGACGAACCAGTAGCACGCATAGATCGCATCACAACATCGGTGGCACAAAACAGGATAATATGATTTGAGAATTTGTTTTGATAATAGTTTCTTTGTTATTTATTTTGTTTACCCTTTACTCTTGTTCTATAATTTCTTAAGCTTTATACACATCGATTATAGTGGCGATCTTAATGCCTAAGGCATTGTCTGTCTGTCTACTGTCGATTATGGTATGAGTGCTGTTTAGTGATGGATGCATGACAATGTATTAATTTTATTTAAAACACAAAAAACTGAGACTTTAGAACTCATACATCAAGGTGGGTGGCGGCATTTACGTATAAGATGTCTATGGCGTAACCAATTAACACCAGATGGACCGTGAGCTCATCCACCCATCTTAGTAATAATAAAAAATCCTAATTATAAGACAAGATAAAAATCCTAATAATAAGGTTTGAAGGGCGGGGCAGCCGTTGTAGATGTCTATGGGCTCCGGTAACTACTTAACATCAGGTGGGCCGTAAGCTTGTCTACCCAACCAAGCAATAAATTAAAAAAACAATTACCAGAACATACCGAGTGACGTAGATGAGATTTTGGCATCTCTGTATAGAGTGAAGTATAGAGAGAGCATAAAATATACATATGTAGCTTGCGAGGCTGACGTACTAGGAGAAAATTCAATTGGGAACAGAAACGTGCTCGTAATCGTTCTTGTAATGATTAAAGTCATTCGGCGATTAATATTTTTGAAGCTGAATATTTTTTAAGTATCGAGTTAATGTTTTCATTTCATTTAATCAGTTTCATTTAATACAAAAACTTATAGTGGTAGTACACGGGTATATACCGCCATCTTAGATCTATCTATCGCGATGCAGTCATCCGATTAGAAAGTGTCTAAAGGCTCCAGCGAGCATTTAACAATCAGCGAACAGTTTATTCGTCAGTCCATCACCATAAACAAAAAAAAAATCAATCCACGCAGTCCACTCACTGCTTTGGGTTTCTTTCACAGGACTTTTCGAATAGAAAGCCTCTATCTAGTATCTATGAAGTGATGCTCGTGTTCAATAGTGAACGTCGTGCGAAGAAACAGAAGCCATTGTCTAGAAATTTTAAGTATATATATTTCAAAGTTCTATTCCTGTTTGATTTATTAAACCTTTCAAACTGAGTACGAAAGAGATCACAATTCGTACTGAAATGCCCTATAAAAGAGTTAAAATATACTTTTGATATTCCTACTTCATTGGCACACTTCAAGAATAATAATAAAAAAATAAGCCTTTATTTTATTTTACTAAAATGAGTCATTGAATATCTGAATATAGTTGGAAAATTTTATTTTAGAACGCTATTAAGTTGAATACGAATTGTTTAAAAATAAAAGATGTGTGGTGTCGTGGGACACCGGATAGGAACGAGGTTCCTTATCATAAAAATAGTAATTTTAAGTTCTATTCGAGGTATAAAGAAAATAAAACTAGAGGTTTCGCAACAACCCAGGGTCGTTCGGTAACGTGCGAACTTATTGCGGTACACTTCATTCACGGTTGTTTGCATATGAGTTAGTGTATTGCGCAAACGAACGCTCTGAGATCGTGGTCAATGAATGATAAAAAAATATGTTATTTTTTGTACGTTATTACAAAGTTAAGTCGTACACTGTGTGCATTACTAATTTGTACGTTATTACAAAATTAAGTCGTACACTGTGCGCATTACTAATAAAAATCTTACGTTACGGATGTTTTTTCCCGGTTAGGGTACCCCTCCGCATCGTCCCATAAGGAACTTCGTTCCAAAAAACCTTAAAAACCATATTATTCCGGTATCCAGGTATGACGCATGGGAGTTTGTGTGCAGCAAACGAAACCCGCTTTTAAATTTAATTAAAGCCTAATTTACCTGTAATCGCTGTGTGTGCATGATCCTTTGTCCGTTGACGAAGACTTGCGCGTCCGCGTGCAGTGGAGTCACGGTGTATCCGCCGCCGTCAGCGGGAGCGACCACGCAATGCCGGGATTGTATCGACGGTCCGTACAGCTGCAGGGCGGTGCCATTTCCCGAACCAACCTACGATAAAAAAATCTACAATTAGTATTCTCTTAGTTCGTAATAATTACTGGTGGTAGGACCTCTTGTGAGTCCGCGCGGGCAGGCACCACCACCTCGCCTATGTCTGCCGTGAAGCAGTAATGCGTTTCGGTTTGAAGGGCGGGCAGCCGTTGTAACTATACTGAGACCGTAGAACTTATATCTCAAGGTGGGCGGCGCATTTACGTCGTAGATGTCTATAGGCTCCAGTAACCACTTAACACCAGGTGGGTTGTGAGCTCGTCCACCCATCTAAGAAAAAAAAAAAACTTTCAAAACTAATATCGGTCGTGAACGACTTCATTTAGGGAAACAATTTTGAAAATATATGTACATAATAATAAGTTACTTTATCAGCCTTAGAACGGTAATGTCATCAGGGTTTTGTTAACATATCTGTTGTATGTACAGGTTTTATTTGAATGGTTATCGACGCCAAAAAGAGACACTACATCTTTCTGGAATCCAGATCGATTGGGAGGTATACACAAACAGACACACATTCAGAAATTGTATAATATTACATGTGTAATATATAATTAAACAAGTTCTAAACAATAACATTCGACAGTCGGTCTTTCGAGCAAAATCACTCTCGGTGGAAGGTACTTTGGTATTCCCCTGTAAAGATTTGTAAGGGAATAACCCTTTGTATTGAATTTCATTGAAATAAACTGAAAAGACCATGACGAAATTTTCATGATTACACATAGGTTTTCTATTTATTTATCTGCTTAATTAACAAACACGAGTTAAACTAATTTATCTTAATGGACCATTGCACACTGAACGTTTATTCTTTTTTTTAGAGTTTATTGTTATTGTTTAATGATATAATTGGCGACATATTAAATGATGAAACATGAAAGTTGCAGCATTACTCTATTACTGCTAGTACTACCTTACTGCCGTGAACGTCTCTCTATCAAAGTGCTCGATTTATGTCTTGAGCACTCTAGTAGTTAAGACTCTTAGCGTCAAATTAAATCAAATAGAGATAGATTAAGGTAATGTCTACAATGCAAATAATTTAGAGCTTAGGTTTTTTTAAAGATTTATTTGTTTATTGATTAGATGGGTGAACGAACTCATGGCCCACCTGGTGTTAAGTTTTTTTTTTATTGTCCTTGTATGCAGACGAGCATACGGCCCACCTGATGGTCAGTGGTTACCGTCGCCCATGGACTTCGCAATGCCAGGGGCAGAGCAGGGGCCTACCGCAAAGTACTCTCCACAAGCCTCGTTTGAAGAAGGATATTTCATAGGGCTCGGGAAACACCGTGGAGGGGAGCTCATTCCAAAGTCGGATGGTACGTGGCAAAAAGATCTCTGGAAACACACTGTCGATTAACGCAGTGGCTCCAGGTATCCGGAACCCATAGACAACTACAACGTAAATGCCGTTACGAACCTTGAGACTAGAGTTATAAGTCTCAGTTTTACAGAACAAGTGTTACTGTCACATCCTACCAACCGAAACGTATTACTGCTTCACGGCAGAAATAGGCAGTGTGTTGGTACTTTCCCATGCGGGCTCGCAAGACACCCTACCAGTAATTTCTGAAGCATTTTTTTTACATAATCTCAAAATCAACACCGTTTTTATTTTGATTTTTGTACAGACCCAGTAATTCGAAATGAACTAATTCGATGAATTAGTGTCGTAGGTACGCTTGTAATTACGTTTTTGTTCTTACGCGATTACTCGGATCTACGAGTTAATATGCTTAAGTTCCCCGCTGATTACTGAGAGAGCGCGTTTCTGGAAAAGCTTTATACATTAATAATGCGAAAGACTTGTAGGAATGTTACGTGTTACATTAACATAAGTAATTTAATTTGTTGCCGCGCGTACTGTGGAGCCAGCTTACTAATGCAGCTGATGTCCGAATGTAATTATAACGTGATGTGTGTAATATAATACAAATTTATATATTATAAAACATATAATACAAATGAGTGTAATTGACGTAACTATACTGAGACCTTAGAACTCATATCTCAAGGTGGATGGCGGCATTTATGTTGTAGATGTCTGTGGGCTCCGGTAACCAATTAACCATCTAACCATCTAAGCAATAAAAAAAACGTATTTATACAATGTGTATGACGATTTATTTACTTATTTTTTGTCTAGAGCTACGAAAAAAAAAACATTAAAATTGGTGATAAAAAAGGTGATATTCATATTAGGAATGACGAACAATGTCTGTATATAAGTATTTAATTCAAAAAAAAAAAAAATATTTTAGATGGGCAGACATACTCATTGTATGTGGTCAACAGAGTTATAAATACCATTAATACCTCCATCCACCCCGGAACATGAAGTCGAGAACTCAATTTTTGTACAACAGCCTTTTTTTTCATACCTATTCTAGTCACCTTGGGGTTATTCTAGATTCACCGAACTAGTAGGTGAGCTCACGGGGTTCAAACCTGACGACGGTGCTAACACGAACCCTAGCAACAGCCGTGCTTCGCACAATCTACCACAGGATCGGAAACACGACCCACTGAGAAGATCCGGTGAGAAACTCAGTGGGCTAAAGTACAACAGCTCCTAACCACCCCACCTTTTATACTCAAATACGTGATCGCATCGTTCCGATCGAAATAGGCAGGATGGAAAGGGTATACAAGTAGATATGACAAAAACTACCTTACTACTTTAAGTATCTATTTGTCATTAAAAGAAGGAGTGGTATCAACCTAATTTTACTATATCTCACAGCTAACAAAGCTGCCGCTGTAGTTAGATTACATACCTTTGACCTAACGCTAACATATTCTTTTAATCCGAATAACGAAATAGTAATACCAACTCCAGACAAGCGTGAATTTTCGTTATTAACATTACTTATGAAAACGCTGTAGTACTTTATCGACCGCATCTGGCATTAAATGTAACATCCAAAGGACGAAAAACCTATGGACCGTAACATAATGCTAGACTTTATTAAATTTTACAAATCAATTTGAATGATGTTTATTTTGATTTTATAATATAATAAATTAAACATTTCTGAGGAGTAAGAATTAAATTTTTGTATAAAATTAGAATTTTACATTTTAAAAAACAGTATTTTGGTTTGTAGTCGTATTGATTTAACGATTTCGAACCTATGTAGCTGATGTGCTTGTTATGTTATTATCCAAAAATATCAAATTTTTAAATGATACTAATATACATTCTTAGCTAGGTGTAATTTTTTCATAGGAGCAACGTTATGGTCTAGTTTAAGCACAAGTTTGAAAAACAAACCATCATCTGAGGCTTGACCACTTCAATGACCGGTTAATTACGTGTGTGATGATGGTGAAATGACTAATGATTACCTATCTAAAATTATAACATGTTTATCATTTCTATTGTCAACACTATTTTTAATTTTACAATTTAATATTTTAGCGTTTGTACTTTATAGACAGTTAAGTCTGGACTATAAAAACGTGATAAATAATCATATTCATATGGCGCGTAGTGAACGACATTTACCTCGACGACATCGGTAATCCGGATTCTGCGTCCATTCTCTAGAGGCGTGGCGTCGGGCGCGACCTCCAGAAGTAAAGGTTCGTTGCCTGGACGCCCGTTGGTGCCTGTGCCGACCTTCTTCTTCCGTCGCCGTGGCTGTGAGTCCGCCGGACGCCGCCGCACGTGGAACATGATAGAGCCTACCAAAAACACACACACACACACATCAGTTTAACAATAAATATGACTCTTACAACGATTTATAAATTTACTAGCTGTACCCCCGTCGGCTTCGCTGGGCATTTAAAATTAACATTATTATTTCTCGCCCTCACAAAGATTCTCATCATTAACGCCCCCGCAACTGGTGTAGGGAGTCCAACACTCATAGATATATTAGCCTATCCATTNTTTACCTCGACGACATCGGTAATCCGGATTCTGCGTCCATTCTCTAGAGGCGTGGCGTCGGGCGCGACCTCCAGAAGTAAAGGTTCGTTGCCTGGACGCCCGTTGGTGCCTGTGCCGACCTTCTTCTTCCGTCGCCGTGGCTGTGAGTCCGCCGGACGCCGCCGCACGTGGAACATGATAGAGCCTACCAAAAACACACACACACACATTAGTTTAACAATAAATATGACTCTTACAACGATTTATAAATTTACTAGCTGTACCCGTCCGCTTCGCTGGGCATTTCAAATTAACATTATTATTTCTCGCCCTCACAAAGATTCTCATCATTAACGCCCCCGCAACTGGTGTAGGGAGTCCAACACTCATAGATATATTAGCCTATCCATTAAGTAAATGTATTTTCTACATGGATACCAAGTTTCAAGTCAATCGGATACAAGATTCAGTAGTTATATATATATATATATATTATTATTTTTTAAATTGCCCTTGTAGGCAGACGAGCATACGGCCCACCTGATGGTGAGTGGTTACCGTCGCCCATGGACTTCAGCAATGCCAGGGGCAGAGCCAAGCCGCTGCCTACCGCTATAACGGAACATCCGTAAAAACCAATGTAAATTTATATATTAGTATAGACTCATAATCGATTTCCAAATTAATATTATTTTTTACCATAATACGACTTCGACACTGCATACCGGAAAAGAAAACCAGAAAAACATCTCCATTATGCTGGAAATATTGTGGAAAATAGAGCATTGTGTGCGCATTATTAAACGGAAAAACAGCTTCCTATCGTGTATCCCTATTTGTTTGAAGTTGTAATCGAATCTTTCTTGGTACATTTTCGTCCTGTTTAGCAAATAAAACAAAGTTTACTTTTTCATTAGTACGTCCAACGTTTAAGGTTTCACGTATTGATTACATTTCAACTCCATTAGTGTAGGCTTACTCAAAACAACACAATTGCTAAAAGGATAATTATAGATATTTTGTGTAGTAGATTTAGTGAATAAAACTTTAAATTGTGCAGAGAAAAATAAAAGGAAGAGCGCACTGACATTGGCAATAAGGCCGATAAAGGAAGTAAACACAGTTCGAGCATCTCTTCGAGTACATTTAGTGGTGTATGTAGGTAAGTGCACTCGAAGAGATGAGCGGGATAGGCGCGAGGCAAGCCGCACGAGGGAGAGTGTCGAGCCCACCTTAGCCCGCCTCTAGTGTCAACATCATTAGTGTCGACATTGTCGTACCGCTCTACCGACTTTACGAGAACAGCTACGGGCTACGCAAAAACGCTACATCTTATTTGTTTATTCAGAAAAACAGATACAGGTGTGGAACGCGCGTATTTTGCTTCCGTCTACGTAGTTCTCGTAGTTACATGTCCTACCGGATTAAATTTCTAAAATGATACACATACGACCATGTTAACTTTTATACCAATTAAAATTATCGATATAATAGTGATGAACAACAATTAATACGTCCTCATCGATATTTTTTATTACAATATCAATAAAAAAACAATAAATCTTTCATACTTATTACATACTTTTTAAAACAATCCGGTTTACAATGCGGTGACGTTCAGATTGTTATAAAAACAATTTTATTTCTGTTATCAGAAAAAGAAACTAAAACATTCAGGACAGTCATAGAAATGAATCTACTCAACAACATGCGGCCAAGCTTATTTATTTCAAAATAAGAGTGTTAAAGAACCGTACGTAGTCCGCAGTGATCCGCAATTTGCGGCTGCGGTATACGGATCAGTGAAAACAATGTTAAATAAACAGTAGTACGTACTAGATTGACTTTGTCAACAGCTCTGACCTTATTCCAATGAATAGCTGTTATTATATCTCAAGAGATCTGATATAATTTATGTGATCTTTATGACTTATTCGTTAGGCTTAAAATATCCTACTTAATATTTATAAAAAGTTTGAATGGATGATTGTAACTGATGTTCACGAAAAAACTCATGGATTTATGCAAAAATAATAATTATATAAGAAAAAAATAAAAAAAAAATTTATCATGGTAAATGACATGATCTTTTTTTTTATTGCCCTTGTAGGCAGACGAGCATACGGCCCACCTGATGGTGAGTGGTTACCGTCGCCCATGGACTTCAGCAATGCCAGGGGCAGAGCCAAGCCGCTGCCTACCGATGATCTGGGCAACGCCAGGTATATCATTATATACGTATACAGTATAACGATGCATTTGGGATACTGACGGGGCTGCCTCGATTCTACAGCGCATCAGGCATGCTTGCGGAGGCGTATATCGACTTTTTTTTTCCTACCTATTCTAGTAACCTCGAGGGGTTATTCTAAATTCACCGAACTAGTAGGTGGGCTCGTGGCCCTCAAACCGGCGTTGTTGGTAACACGAACCCTAGCAAGAGCTGTGCTTCGCAGAATCTACCACCGAAACGGATACGCGACCCACAGAGAAGATCAACTGCATCTGTGGGTTAATTTACTCGCCGAGCCCTTCATCGCAAACGACGGGTTCGACAAGAACGGTGACCGGAAACGCATATCGACGTTTTCAATGGCATAATAAGAAAGCGATGCGCGTCCTTGCTCTGCAGGGTAGGCGCTAGCTCCAACATCATCCTAGCTAGGATATTCTCGAGATTAGATGGACCTATTCTCAATCATTGTAGACAGGTCCACAAAATGTGCTCGTAATGGTCAACTATTGTAATTGTATGTATGTATGTTGTTCTTTTCTTTTGTTTAGTTTCTATGTCCTTACTAACATATTTTTAATAAATCACTGTTACTAACATTAATATGGATTAACATTTTATCTGAAATAAATGAATTTAATAATAATAATAATTGCTATAATAAATACGGCAAATTCACAAGCTCGTGATTTTACGTCCCAACGGATCTACAGATCGACTGGTAGTTTATAGACCAGAGAGCGACAGAAGCAACTCTATAACAATGGCAGTTGGCTGGTTTGTGACTTATGAATTCACTTAGCATGTTTAAAGAATATTAAACCTCTTACAAACATCAAATAACAGAATCAACTGTCTTGATTAACTTGATGGCAAAATAGAAAGCAAATTAATAACTCAGCGGTTCAGAGCAAACTGCTGTCCCTTTAAAATATTAAAGCTAGATATATCCATTTAAAAATATATGAAAGACGCATTTACTAAATTGTTAACAATAATGATATTTCTTCATTAAAGAAAGCATTAAAATAAATTGCTTAAAGCGATGCGGCTCGGTGTTCTAACGTTAGACTCAATAAACAAAACCGGAGGTAATTTATTGGCCTAAAGGTTTATATTTGTCCAATAAACTTAAGCAATTTGTTCCTTACCTAATGTTTGAGGTAAATAAATACTTTACTTTTATATGTTACGTAAGAATAGCTATATTATCAGAACATATTTTTTAAGACACTAAAATCGAAAGACACATTATAATGCACATTACCAATAGAATGGAAAATCAATAATGTCGACTGGTGTTCACAGTTCAGACATAAAATATATTAACGTCGTTTTCGTCGTATCAGCTGCCATAAATCTATAATACTTATCTATATCTAGATATAAATATCTGTATTATATATAAGCTGTTTTGGGAAAGTTCGTATTTCGTATTCACATTCAGGAGACGTACGAAAATAAACAATTTTCTTTTTAATAATTTTCATCTAGGTACGTCACTAATTACTAGCAATTAAGGGCGCACCGCCTATTCGAATTAGTTTCAGCTTCATTCTATCGCATAGTAGTCCATTTCGTGATGAGAGAGAAGATTGAATCAGATCGTAAAATATAAAAAAACAGCGTTATTAATTGAGATGGCCTATCCGGCAAGTAAGCAGTCTTTACATGGCGACAGCGGTCTATAGCAGGAGGAAAGTCACATTATCCATTTATGCTAATAAACAACACACATAAAACTTGTATTCATTTTTATATTTGAAAAGTGTGTTTTTATAAATTCGGAGTGAGCCTTTTCGCATTCTGAAACGTCATACATAAATAATAGGAGCGTGCGGTGGCTTAAGTCCTCGCGGGAATCATTTAATGAAGGTCAATAACGTTAAAACTATATCGCAACTATAATTAATATAGTAGAATATGAGTTTTGAAATAAATATGTCAACCTAATTCTGTTTGTAATTTTAATTAACATCCCTAGGTTATTTGAAACAAAAAAAAAATGTAATAAAAATAATAAACAGTTAATTCTGCTTTATTAAGTTTATTAAAGAATATATTCAAAGATTAAATCCACTTTCACTTTAAAAACTTACATTTTAAGTAAAATTTATAGGTCGTTCTACAGAAGTTAACTGTATAAATTAACACTTTTACACACATTAAGTGTTTTATTTAGTAAGTGTTAAGTAATTAATAGTATTCGTACTAATAAAAGGCCTAAGCAACCATTTTGTTTCCACAACATACGATTACCAATATCAATCAACTAGTTTTAGCCCGCGACTTCGTCCGCGTGGAACATAAAAAACGTTATAGTGAGTCAACCAATAGACATATGCTGTCGCAGACTTTTTTTTAGATATTTTAAAGGGCAACAATTCACTCATACATTACTTTAGCGAAACTTTAACCGTTTCCGCAGTTGCGTGCACTCGTTGCGTTGGAAGCTCTTAAAAGGAAAAACCCTGATTTTGAAACATTCTTTATTGGTGCTCCGCCTACATTGGTCTTAGCGTGATGTTATATAGCCTATAGCCTTCCTCGATAAATGGGCTATTTAACACTGAAAGAA